GTGGTCACCTTCAGGTTGGAGAGGAGAGTGAGTAGGGCATAAAAAATTGAGATTTCTGCTTTTTTGTCATGATACTAATTTTTTTTTTCCAGTGAGAATATATTTTTGCATATTAGTTTATTTTTTAAATATTGTGTATATATTTTTTAAATTTTAAAGAAAATAATCTGGAGGACTGTGCCTACCCTTCAAAAAAAATAACTGTGGGGAGAAAAGTGCAAGGCCATGTGTTCTATGTTTTCATTATTAACAGCCTGGTGTATATTCTTCAGCTCTTTCCCTCCCCATGCACACACACACATACACACACACACATTTTATATTTATAGAAATGGTAACACACTCCAAGTTTTCTCAAATAGGAAGTTTATTGAAATATAATCCACAAATCATAAAGTTTGCCTTTTTAAAGCATACAATTCAGTGGTTTGAGTATTCAGAGCGGGCAACCATCACTACTCTCTAATTCCAGAGCATTTTCAGCCCCCCCCAAAAGAAACCCTGAGCCCATGAGCAGTCGCACCCCGTGCCTTCTCCCTAACAACCACTAATCTATTTTCTGTTTTTGTGGATTTGTTTGTACTGGAAATGTCATGCAAAAGGAATTATACACTAGGTGGCATTTTGTGACTGGCTTTCTCCACTTAGCATAATCTTTTCACAGTACGCTCGCTCGTGTTGTGGCTTATGTCAAACTTCATTTCTTCCTAACGCTAAATAAATTCCCTGGTGTGGATAGGCCACATTTTGTCTGTCTGCTCATCAGCTGGCCATTTGGGTTGCAGGTTTTTTTCCCCCACACCTTCTACAAATCTCCAAGATTTTACCTTGACAGCAAATCTCATGCTCCCTCGGTCGTCTTTTTTTTTTTTTAAAGATTTATTTATTCATGGATGCAAGGGGTTAAGTCGCAGCACTATGAAGCTATCCCCTTGGTCCTTTTTAATGTGTGTTTTTTTTTTTTTTTTTTGGTGGGACCCTCTCCGGTGGTCTGGTGGCCTGGGAACTAACCGGAGCTGTAGAGGCTGCAGGCAGCCTCGCAGCCCCAGCGCTCAACTGCTGAGCTACTTTTTTTTTTTTAAGATTTATGTATTTATTTATACAAGCACTGGGTACAGTCAGAAGCGTGGGAAGGTGAGAGAACTCACCAGAGCCAGAGTGGGAAGCAGAGCAGGCAGAAGGACCAAAGTACACTGCTGAGGGGAACAGCGGGCGGCAGGAGAGGTCTGCGCGCCATGTGGGACCCTCCTCCGGTGGCCGGGGAGCAGCCGAGGATCGAACCAGCATTGCAGAGGCTGCGGGCAGCTTTGCAACCCAGCGCTCAACCACTGCGCCACCCCACCAGGGCGGCCCCCCTCGGTCCTTTTTAATGGCTTTCTATTATCTCGTTCCTTTCTATGGTATGGCTGGGACTTCTCAGTGCCTTTGGAGACCCCTGCCCCCTCCTATCATCCCACATATTTTCTCCAGGGAGCCTTTTTTTCTTTTAAAGATTTATTTATTTATGCATATAAGTACTGGGGTGTGGGGGGTGAGAGGATTCACCAGAGACAGAGTGGGGAGCAGAACAGGCAGATTGACTGAAATACGCTGCTGAGGGGAGCAGCGGGCGAGTCAGGAGAGGTCTGCTGCACCATGTGGGGAGCTCCCTGGCTGGGGATCCAACTCTTTCTGCAGTGGCTGCAGATAGCTTCATAGGCTGCGTTTTAACCCCTTACGCCATCAGGGAGGCCCTCTCCAAGGAGCCTTAAAGAGGCTCTGATCACCTTATCCATGGCACCCTTTTATAGATGATAAAAGGGAGTTTCAGGGAAAGGAAGGGTTTTGCTGTGGATCATCAAGTTGGTGTAGTATTCACAGATTTCAGCTCCTGGCTGAGGTCACAGCCTCTCACCCCATAGTATGATAGGAAGTCCCAGGTCTGCAAGCTTGACTATCTGACTTCAGAACCCCCACCTTACCACTCCACTTGGGGTCTCTCTGAATATCCCCTTCCTGTGACCCGTATATGGAAGGGGCACTTTGTAGGAGGGTTTGTTTTGTAGCCCTCACCCCTGTTCTCTGCTGTTCTCACTTTTGAAATATCCCAGGTCAGCCCTTCTCAAATACTGGCTCCCTGCTCAGAGGCACCCAGTGTCTGAAATATCAGTCACTGCCTTCCTGCCTCATTTGCATTTCAACAGGTCTCTTTAGGATTTGATTGGCTTTAAGATATTCTTAAGAGCCCCTCTGGAGTTCTTTCCCAGATTCTGTGGTTCCCATCTGGGCTGCACAATAAGTCACCTGTATAAAAATAGTGATGGTTGGGATCTACCCTGGACTGATTAACTGATTATATCAGAATCTCTGGGGGTCATGAGCATCAAGTTTTGGGTTTTGTTTTTTTAAGTTTCCTCAGGTAATTATGATGAGTACCCAGGGTGAGAACACCAGTGGTAGGTCCACCCTGACATCACCTCATTAAAGAATACACATTTTCTCCTTCCATGTCTTTGAAACTAGGTTAAGAGCTATGTCAAGAACTGGTTCCAGGTCAGCTGTAGATTTGCTGTGGGGACCCTTCTTTCCCCTGCAGGCTTGCATTAGATCAGTGGTTCCCACTATTGGGGATGGAGGATGTAAGATATGGGGGTGTGTGGGAGAGGGCAAGCATTCAAACCATTAGGGAGCATTCTTTAAAAATACCTGCTTAACTTGAAAAGTCAAAAGCAACCTAAGTGTACACCATGAATGTAAATCCCCCCTCTCGTGGGAGGAAGTATTCAATGGAATAACATTGAGTGACATTTTAAAACATCAGTAATAATAATTGTGTCATCTGCTTGTATTCCCATCCATACAGCTTGTGCCATTTTGCATTCTAGCCAGTGATACATGAGAGCTGCTATTTCTCCATGGTTTCATCAATAGAATATGTTGTCAGGTGTTTAGATTTTTGCCAATCTAATAGGTGAGAAATGGTATCTCGGTGTAGGGTTTTTTTTAAAGATTTATTTATTTATGCATACAAGAACTGGGGTACAGGCGAGATGTGGGGGGTGAGAGGATTCACCAGAGACAGAGTGGGGAGCAGAACAGGCAGATTGACTGAAATACACTGCTGAGGGGAGCAGCGGGCGAGTCAGGAGAGGTCTGCTGCGCCATGTGGGTAGCTCCCTGACCGGGGATCAAACTCGTGCTACAATAGCTGCCGATAGCTTCATAGGTTGTGTCTTAAACCCTTGTGCCACCAGGAAGGCCCTCAATGTAGTTTTAATTTGCATTTCTCTATCATGTGTAGGGTTGAGCATCTTCCTATGGTTAGGAGTCACTTTCCTATTAACTGTTTTTCTTATCTTTTGCCCATTTTTCTATAGGTTTATGATTTATTCTCTTTTTTGTAAAACTCTTTATGTACTTAGGATATTAATAAATAAATTGCAGGGTTTTTTTTTCCAACTAGTCATTTATATTTTTACTTTTCTGTGGGTGTTTTTGTTTCCATGTTGAATTTGCTTATCTAATCAAATGTATTAATTTCTCCCCCATCATTTCTGGATTATGAAATTGTGATTATTATTATTATTATAATAGCTTTATCTTACTTTAGCCTTCATGAAAACTTACAATATAAACTAAAACTAATCATTTCTGCCATCATTCCCAAGCCTTCTGTGTAATTATGATCTGTTGCCCCCATATTCACTTTGTTTATTTATATTCACTCAGAGAGAGAGTCCCCACCAGGATGCCAGTTCCCTGAGGACAGGATTCCCCCTGAGATGGACATTTGCATACGCTCCTTTATGGGAGAGTCCCCTTGAGAATAACATCATCCAGGACGAGGCATTAGCACCAATGGGCTCAGTGGGTCAGATGGGGAGCTGGTATGGCATGTTAGCATTGTCCTGTGTGGGCACTGGCCTGCCATCGGATGTGGGCTCCCCCAGGAAAGGGCACTTGACCGTGGACAAGGTGGCTGCCCTCAGCCAGTAGCCATTGCTAGGAGGAGGGACTCCGCTTTGTGGTCTTAGCTGGGGGAACAAGGGCCCAGTCCTAAAGTGGGAAGGGTGGTGTCTAGGTGGTGCATTATAGCACCCTCCCCAAGCTTCCTGTCTGTCTTGGTCACTGCCGTGTTCTCTGTACCTAAATGTGCCTGTCACATAAGAGGTGCTCAGAAAGTCTTTGGTAAATGAATGAAAGACAAACAAAAACAGAAACCCTGATTTCTGAGACTTGGTTCAGGCCTCTGGATCTCATATGAGGGTAGGAGAAAAGAGAGGAACCACAGACAGAGTTATGTCCTCAAGTGCTTCTGGCCTGTCCCCCATTTTCAGCCCACTGTGGGTGATATTGGGAGTCCCATTGATTCTGTAGTTGGTGGTGGTCCAGGCTGGACACAGCTGGGCTGGGATAGGGAAGGTTGGGGGAGAGAGGCCCTCAATGGAACCCTATGCGTGGTGACTGCTCTTTTTTTTTTTTTAATTTTTTTTTGTGAGACACAATGCTTTTATTTATTTAAATCAGATTTTGTCAATTTACCATTTGTTTACAAAACTGTATCATTTCAGGAGTACAGCTTCACACTTCAGTAAGTTACATGCTTCTCTCACCCACCACCAAAGCCCCATGCCACTGCTTGAGCACATTAACCACCTCTGTTCCTGACTTCCTCTCCAGTTCCTCTCCCCTCTGGTAACCACCATGCTCTTCACAGGGTCTAAGAAACTTTCAGTTCAGTTTTTACATTGGTTTTCTTTGGTTATTTATATTCCACAAATGAGTGAAACCATCTGGTAATTGTCACTTTCTGACTTATTTCACTTATCAATAGCATCCTCTCTTCAAGTTCCATCCACATTGTCACAAGGAGCACAGATTTCATCTTTTTTAACAGCTGAGTAGTATTCCGTGGAGTATTTGTACTATAGGGTATTTATCCAGCCATGACTGCACTTTGGATGCACATTATTCTTGTAAGCTTTCAGTTCAGTTTTTGTTTTCTTTTATCTTCTCTCCAGCATTCCTTGAAGAAAAGAGGAACCCGCTCTCTGGGGAAGACAGACAAGAAGCCTTCCATGCAGGTACCTCCTGGTAGCACCCATAGCCCCCAGTGCAGTCCCCACAGTCAAGCTTTAGTCTGGTGGCCTGAGACCTAATTCCAAGTGGCCCAGAGAATCCCCTAAGATGTGCACCCTTCCCCAGCTTCTACCCCACATTTTTCCTTTGTTCAGTTCCCTAACTACTGCTTATTTCACTTCCCAGAACCAGGCCTGGAGCCCATGGTTCTCACATGCTCAGATAGATAGTATAAATGTAGCACAGGGCCAGATATAGACTATATTAGCCTCCAGTGCTACTGGACTGTCAGGGTGCTAGGAAATTTTCATGATTATCTTAGTGAATCCCCTCCATGGCTTTGTGACAGAGGAAGTATTATTGTCCCATTTTATACACAAGCAAAATGCAATAGTAATGGTAGTTGTGGTAGCAGCAACAGTTGCCCTGGCAGAATGTTTTCTACTCCAGATACGTTAGTCTGTATCTGGATTCCCCAAGCTATGCATGGCGTTACATCTTTGTTGCAATGTCTAAGTTCCCCTCTCCACCCCCAGCTTCTGAGGGTCAGGGCTGCATCTAATTCATTCCTGTGTCCCCAGGACACAGTTACTGCCCCCTGAGATTCTGTAGCTGAGACTCCCAGCACTAACCTTCCTGGTCCTGTGTCCCTGTGCCCATTGCATCCCAGGAGGATAGTGCAGACCTGAAATGCCAGTTGCACTTTGCAAAGGAGGAATCGGCCCTTATGTGTAAGAAGCTCACCAAACTGGCCAAGGAAAACGACAGCATGAAAGAGGAGCTGCTTAAGTACCGCTCGCTCTATGGAGATCTGGACAGCGCCCTGTCTGCTGAGGAGCTGGCAGACGCACCCCACTCTCGTGAGACCGAACTGAAGGTGCATCTGAAGTTGGTGGAGGAGGAAGCCAACCTGCTGAGTCGCCGCATTGTGGAGCTGGAAGTGGAGAACCGAGGCCTGCGGGCCGAGATGGACGACATGAAGGATCATGGCGGGGGCTGTGGGGGCCCAGAGACACGACTGGCCTTCTCCGCGCTGGGTGGCAGCGAATGTGGGGAGAGCCTGGCTGAGCTGAGGCGACACCTGCAGTTCGTGGAGGAGGAGGCGGAGCTGCTCCGACGCTCCTCCGCGGAACTTGAAGATCAGAACAAGCTGCTGCTGACTGAGCTGGCCAAATACCGCTCGGAGCATGAACTGGACGTGACATTGTCAGAGGACAGCTGCTCGGTGCTCAGCGAGCCCTCACAGGAGGAGCTGGCCGCTGCCAAACTGCAGATCGGTGAGCTCAGCGGTAAGGTCAAGAAGCTACAGTATGAGAACCGCGTGCTCCTGTCCAACCTACAGCGCTGTGATCTCGCCTCCTGCCAGAGCACCCGACCAATGCTGGAGACCGATGCCGAGGCTGGAGATTCTGCCCAGTGTGTGCCTGCTGCACTGGGCGAGGCCCACGGGCCGCATGCTGCTCGGCTGTGCAGAGCCAGGGAGGCTGAGGCACTCCCTGGGCTGAGGGAGCAGGCGGTGCTGGTTAGCAAGGCCATTGACGTCCTGGTGGCTGATGCCAATGGCTTCTCGGCTGGCCTTCGTCTGTATCTGGACAATGAGTGTGCTGACTTTCGGCTGCATGAGGCCCCTGACAACAGTGAGGGTCCCAGGGACACCAAGCTCATCCATGCCATCTTGGTGCGACTGAGCATGCTCCAGCAGGAGCTCAATGTCTTCACCCGGAAGGCAGACAGCGTCCTGGGGAGCTCTGCCAAGGAGCAGCCAGAGCCCTTCTCATCACTGCCCGCCTTGGGCTCCCAGGGGACCTCCAAGGAGCTGCTTCTAGCCAAAGACCTTGGCTCAGACTTCCAGGTAACAATCAGGCAATATTGCTTTATTTATTTCTTTATTTATTTTAACTAGAAACTTGTTACAGAACCCACACATATGACAGAGGCACACAGCACCAGTGTACAACTTAATGCATTTTCCCAAGGGAAAACACTCCTGTAATCATCACCCACCCAGAACAAGAAAGAACTAGAACTTGACCAGCACCCCAGAAATCCCTCCTCATACTCCCTTTAAGCCACTATCACCACTCCCAAGGGGAGCCCCTCCTCCCTTGATTCAATTTTGTCTGTCTTTGAAATTTATGTAAATTGACTGATATAAGTAAGTGCACACTCGTTTGCCTGTCTTCTTTCACTCAGAGGTTATGTGTGTGGTCGTTCATCTAGTCATGACTGGATACAGTCTTCCTGAGTGATTACACCACAGTTCACTTTCTCATTTACTATTCATACATATAGGGGTCGATTCTGGGGCCCTGTCTTTTTGCCAGATTCCCCCTTCTTTTTCCTCTTGCAATTTTATATTTTGAAACAAGAATTATTTAAAAAACTAAAAGATTCGTGTCCTGTATAAAGACAAGAAACTGGACTTTCTAAAGATAAAGAACTTCCAGCTTGATGTTTATAAAATACTACTGAGAAAAATTAAAATAGCAAATGAACTCCCCCCCAACCAAAAGGAAAGCATTATTGCCAAAGTGATCCATGAACATTCAGAGTTTCAAATGTGCCTGAGATAAAAGAATGAAAGCCTCCCTCCCCTCGCTCCTTCTCATTCCTATAGGTCCAGCTAGCAAGAGTCAGAAGCAGAGATGTCCAATATGGTAGCCACGAGCTACACATGGCTATTGAAATTTAGATGAATAAAAATGACATGCAATTGAAAATTCCATTCTTCAGTGCAGCAGTCCCCTTTCAAAGGTCCAGTAGCTGCATATGTCAAATGGTACTTATCTAGGGGCCTCCCTGGTGGTACAAAGGGTTGAGCCTGAGCACTGTCAAGCTATCCACGGCCACTGCAGCATCAGCTCAATCCCTGGCCAGGGAGCTAACCCACATGGCGCAGCAGACCTCTCTTGTCTCACCCCCTATTCCCCTCAGCAGTGTACCTCAGTAGATCAGCCTCTTTTTGTTTTTTTAATATTTATTTATTTATGAATACAAGAACTGGGGTGTAGGCTAGAGGTGTGTCGGGGCTGAGAGGATTCACCAGATAAAGTGGGGAGCAGAATAGGCAGATCAACTGAAAAATGCTGCTGAGGGGAGCAGTGGGCAAGACTGGAGAGGTCTGCTGCGCCATGTGGGCTAGCTCCCTGGTAGACTGGGGATTGAACTTGTACTGCAGTGACTAGTGATAGCTTGATAGCGCTGTTTTGTTTTTTTTTTTTTAAAGAATTTGTTTACTTATTTATACAAGCACTGGGTACAGTCAGAAGCATGGGAGGGTGAGAGAATTCACCAGAGCCAGAGCGGATTACAGAGCAGGCAGACTGACGAAGTACACTTTTGAGGGGAGCAGTGGGTGGCAGGAGAGGTCTGCGCGCCATGTGGGACCCTCGCCCAGCCTCCGGGGATCGAACCAGAGCTGCAGAGGCTGCGGGCAGCTTCGCAACCCAGCACTCAACCGCTGCACCATCTGGGAGGCCCATTGATAGCGCTGTTTTTAACCCCTGCACCACCAGGGAGGCCCAAATAAATAAATCTTAAAAAAAAAAAAAGGTACCGATCTAGAATATTTCATCGTTGCATGCCAATCTTTCTTGTCAATCTTTCTCTACTTGTGCTCTCATCGACTTTTTTCCTCCAAAGTGCTTTATATTACACCTCCTGTTCCCATACAACTTATTTTTCTTGTGTACTATGATCTATTTGTTCATTTACTTATGATGCTGTATTTATAGTTCATGTACTTTGTGTGCTCAGTGCTAGAGGTGCTGTGCTAAGCTCAAACAGATATGATTCTTGCCCCCCAGCCCGTGATCATCTAGAGGGGACGAGGGATGTTAACCAAAATAGCATGCCAATGAATGTGAAATTATAAACTGAGATGAGGGTTCTCCAGGAAAGGTACTTGATTCTATGAACAAAGAAATTGACCTAGACCCTGGGTTGGGGGGGGTCTCTGATCTGAGCTGACTTCAGGAGGAAGGATTACCAGAGGAAGTGTTTTGGAAGCATTGAGGGTAGCCTGTGCCAAGGCATTGTGGAAGGAGTGTGGTGTGTCCTAGGACTAAGAGAATATAGGGGAGGTTTCATCTTCCTGAGAGCAATGCAAGGGGTCTCCCCTGTCTGTACTTAACTCTTTCACAACTGCAGTGTAGTAGCACTGTAATTTCTTGAATCCATGCCCTGCTGATCTGGCTTGGTCTTGCTATTTTTAAGTGAGCAGATGGCCCCTGTGAGGTGTCCTTCTTGGTTCTTCTTGGGGCAGAAATTAAGGGAAGTTGCACAAATGATAGTTGAGGCTGGCTCAGGTTTGTGCATAAGACAGACATTGACAGACCCTTGTTACTACTCACCTTACCTACTCATTCATCCCTTCAGTAAGCATCCATCAGGGGTTGCAGTGTCCCAATGAGGGTGGGTCTGTCCTACAGAGCTGAATCCCCTTTGGGGATTCAGGTTCCAGCCCTTGGGTGGGTGGTCAGAGTCCACAGGCCTGGGGTGGGGTCTGTTTTTGGCACAACTTGGGCCCCTCCTCATGGTTACCTTTGGTTTCTTCCTGTGCCTCTGGGGGGCAGCCGCCTGACTTCAGGGACCTGCCGGACTGGGAGCCCAGGATCCGAGAGGCCTTCCGTGCTGGTGACTTGGACTCCAAGCCCGATCCCAGCCGGAGCTTCAGACCCTACCGAGCTGAGGACAACGACTCCTACGCCTCTGAGGTGGGCCTAGGCCTACAGGGGGGTGGGTAAGAGGAGGAGATTGGGGCCTCCCTAAAGCAGAGTGATCCATGGAGGTTCTTGACTGGTAATTATATGGATTTTGAATATTCCATTGGGTTCTAAGCTTCCTGGAGCCAAGATAGATAGCCAAGGTGAAAAGAAAACCAGAGAGATTTGTGTCATTTTCATGGTCTGAACAAAGGAAGCTTATAAATTCATCTGAATAAATCAATGCTTTTTTTTTCTATACTGAATTCCACTGTGATTTAATAATTTATGTCATTTAATGGAACCCAAATTTCTGTAACAAGAAAGCAGCAGTCTCTATAGTGAGACTGACTAGATTCAAATTGTGAGTCCAGCCAGATCTGGTAGTGAGATCTAAGATAAGTCACTTTACCTCTCTGATCCTCAGTTTTTTGAACTTTAAAATAAAGGTGAGTCCTCATAAGGTTGTAGGAGGAATTAAACACATGGAAAGCCTTAGCTTAAGGCCTGGTCCTTGTTGAGTGAGGATGAGGATGATACCTCTCTGGCCCTCAGAGAGGGTACCTATGTGTGGCTGTGTGGGTATGTGTTCCCACTTTCTGGCTGCAGCTTCCCCCTCTGTCACCTAGAAGGATTAGAGTGGGTTGTGGCTAAGAATTGTGGAGTGAAGAACCCTGGAAAGTAATGTATCAAACTCTTTAAGTGGTCTGAGTTTCCTAGCAGCCATGGCAAAAAGGTGGGAAGTCATGAATACCTAGTTTTTACTTTCTGAGAAAGGGAAATAGGTCAGCTTACCTGCAGAAAGAATCCTTTCCTGTATGAATTCAATTATTATTTAATTCAACTACTCTTTATTGAGCAGTTATAATTTGGCAGACACTGTGTTGGGCCCCAAGTCCAAGAACACCAGAGATCACAGCTATTATTTAACCTCTCAAAAATTTTAAATACAAAATGGGTATATAAGATATACCTGAAGTCAGAGTCCCTTCCATAACCAAATTTCAACGCTATTGGCCAGATGATAAATGTTTGGGTTTTTTCACAGAGGGACATTTTGCCATACCTGGAAAGGTTTTGTGTAAGGAGTTGGGACTGACCCTATCTTCTCCCCCTGCCTCCCATTTAACATGACAGCATAAACATTCCCTCATTATTTACTTCCTTAAAATTTGAAATTGAACTGTGACATACATACAGAAAAATACTTGAATTGTCAGAGGATAACTCAATTAATTCTCACAAACTGAACATTCCTATGTAATCAGCAGTCAGTCAGTAAACAGAGCATGACCTGTCCCCAAGAACCTCCCTGTACTCCCGTCCAGTCACCATCCTGACTTGTAACCAAGTAGGTTAGTTTTGCCTGTTTAGCTATAACATATAACTATGTAGATATCATTCCCCATGAAAAGGTAGTTTTATTTTCTTTTTCTTAAGATTTTAGTAATAGTCATTATTATAAACAATAATTAACTACAACAAAATCCCTAAACAGCATTGTATAAAGATATGAAAAGAACAGTTAAGATCACAAGTTTATCACATAGTTAGCCTCTGTTAATATTTAGTGTGTCTGTGTCCATGTCCTTCATGTTTTTCTGTTGAGGCATACTGTGTATCTCTTTTAAAAAGACAAAACTTTTAATTCAAGTATCACAGAATAATGTACATACCATAAAGGACACTGTCCTTAAGTGTGCAGTTAAATGGATTTTTACATATGTATAGACCTATTAAACATAGATATGAATCCCTTCATTTATTTATCTACATTGTTTCTACATTTTTGCAGTTACCAGCAATGAGATAATGAACATCTTTGTGAACCAAACTTAGTTTTCATGGCAGCTTGTTTTCTTCAAATAAACTTCAAAGAGAGAAATTATCGAGTTAAAATTATAACCAGAGCTAGATTTGATATAAACTGTTTCACTTAATTGTCATGACAACCCACTGAAGAAGGAATAGTGAGTGGGTCCTGCTTGCTTTGTGCTGAAGGACGGCTCGGGCCCAACTTGCCTCTGTTGCTCCCTATCACACTCATCCTTTGATCACAGCTTCTGTGTTGCTCTGCTCGATCTCCCTCATTATCTGTGTCCTTTGTCCCTACCCAGATCAAGGAGCTGCAGCTGGTGCTAGCCGAGGCCCATGACAGCCTTCGGGGCCTGCAAGAGCAACTCTCCCAGGAGCGGCAGCTTCGGAAGGAGGAGGCCGACAACTTCAACCAGAAAATGGTCCAGGTGGGTGATGTGCAGGGCCCTCCCTGAACCTATTCCAGCCCGTCTTCCCTGAACTGAAGAAATAAATCTTAGAGTCCCCAGTCTTTAGAAGGCAAGACTGTCAGGGGACACTTGTCTTCCTGTGCTATGCTGTACTTGTCATTGTGCATTATCTGTGCTGGGCTGGGAGCCTGGGTTTCTTACTACCTGGGCGACCTCGGGCCAAGCCTCTCTCCTCTCTGACCTTCAGTTCTCATCTGTGATATACTTTCCCTCTCAGGGCTGAAAATGTGTGGCAGAATGACCATAGGCCTGGCTGGTAATCAAAACGACAGTCCTGATAATATTAAGCCCTTGCTGCATCAGGCCTGCACCATGCACTTTCCGCACATTATGTCCTTTAATCTTCCCTATGAGGTGTCGCTGTTTTACAGATGGGGAAACTGATGCCCAGGGCTCTGAAGAGCTTTGCCTAGGGTTGCACATCCAGGGCAGGTCTCCGTCTCTCAGCCATGACATCCAGTTGCTTCCTAGATTATTGCATATGCTCAGCCTTCCCCACTCCCAGCATGCCCTCTGCTGTCCACCAGGGTTACCGCTCCCTGCAGTTGTTGCCCTCTCGCCCAGGTTCCTCATTAAATGTGAGAGTTCATGGGAAGCATTGGTGCCCAGTATGTGCTGATTTTATGATGTTGTGCTTTTTATACTCAAAGCTGGGTTTAGATCCCAGCTTTTACTGATCTGTAACTGTGATTACCACTTTTATTAGTTTCTCTTCCTAGGGTAGCAGAGGGCAGTGTTTATCTCAACAGAATGAGCTGCTCCCGTTGGAATCCCTGGCAGGGATCACTAAGGGGGCACCGCCCAAATTGTCCTCTCTGTTCTGGTCTGAAGCCTGGAATGGGTGGGGTTGCTCATGCTTGTTCCCCTCCTAGCTGAAGGAGGACCAGCAGAGGGCGCTCCTGAGGCGGGAGTTTGAACTGCAAAGTCTGAGCCTTCAACGAAGGCTGGAGCAGAAATTCTGGAGCCAGGAGAAGAACATGCTGGTGCAGGAATCCCAACAGTTCAAGCACAACTTCCTGCTGCTCTTCATGAAGCTTAGGTGGTTCCTCAAGCGCTGGAGGCAGGGCAAGATTTTGCCCAGCGAGAGGGATGACTTCCTAGAGGTAGGGTTCCCCGGGCACTGGGGCTAGGGTGGAGTGCGGTGAGGGAGATAGCATGAGAGGGAGATCCTGCTGGGGTTACACACTCCTGAGGCTCATATCTGAGCCTCTGCTTGCAGGCTTCTGTGAGAACTAGTTGTTGACTGAGCACAGTGGCTGGTGCGGGGGATATCTAGTGAGGAAGACAGACGTGGTGTGGGTCTCACCAGGAGAAAGTCTCCTTGGGGGCTGGTAGGTCTCTACTCTGAATGCCTTGGTACCAAGCCCCCCTCCCGGAAAGGCTCCCTCCACCCTCGCAAACCTTTCATTGTCCTCATGGGGTGCCTGTGGCACTGACCACAATGTCTACCTTAACCCTGCCTGATGACATGGTTATTACTGAGCAGCCCTCTGGGACACATCATGGACCTTGGGGCAGAGAGATGTGTGGGACCAGAAGGGCCTGACTGTCCCGCTGTGCTCCCCACCTGATGGTGTCCAGGGTCAAATTAAAACTCTGGGTGCCTTTGGTCTAACCTGTGCCATGTATCCCCATTCTTTCTTCCTGCCAGCTATGCAGTCCTTTTCTATCTGGGTCAAGAGCTTGACTCCCCTCCCCCTGTTGAGTGTATTTTTTTTTTTTTTTTTTATATAGGTAAATAGCATGAAGGAGCTATACCTGCTAATGGAGGAGGAGGAATTAAATGCCCAGCATTCTGATAACAAGACCTGCATGGGGGACAGCTGGACCCAAAATACGGTGTGTTTTCAGCCCATTCCCAATCCCGTCCATTTGTTCCTTTTTCTGTCTAGTGATCACATCCTGCGGTCTTCTTTGACCCCAGTCCTGCACTGGGCACTAGAGCTGCAGGGAGTGATTGCCTGGCTACTGGCCCTAGGTGCTTGGTGCTGTGGGATGCATAAGTCACCCCAGGACAGTGACAGAGGGCCAGAGGGTAATAGGTGAGAGAGAGCAATTAGTTGTCTTTGGAGTATAGGGGAAAGTATTATACAGAAGGGGGTCACAGGTGGTGGGTTTTGAAGAATGAGTAGGAGCTTAAATGATAAAGATTGGGGCCCAATCTAGATAAAGAGACTGTGCTTGCAGGGGTGTGGCAAGGAATTCTGGGCCTGATTGCAACTTGGAATATACGTAGTAGATGTAAGGACATCAGGCTGGAGCCATAAAGAGGGACCTTATGGCCTAGAGTCAGGAATCAAACTGTGGAATAGAGAGAGCAGCAGGGTCAGGCTCCAGAGTCACACACGATGACCTTGGATATGGGTAGGGGCAGGTATTAGACCCAGGAGAGATGATTGGAACCCTGTCAGGCAATTAGGGAGGCTCCATGCTTTGGACTCCCCATCTGGCTTGAGATGAGTCGCGCATGCAGATCTGAAGCAAGGAGAACGTCCAGAGCCTAGAGCCGCAGAACCTTGAAAAAGCCTTCACCTAGCGCAGATTTAGACTGAATAGTTATTGCTGTAACTGCAGGGTCCTGTGTTTATATGAGACTGGGGTGCATGTTGGCCTAAGAGGTGGCCAGAGCTGGGTTTGTCATGCCCATTTTGCAAAGTGAGATGACCAGAGACGTGGTGGGACTTGCTCAAGACCTGGTAGAATCTCAGCTGGACTCTGGGTGAGTGTGGCCAGCCCAGGCCTCTCCCCCATGTGTTGGGAAGCTCTGACACAGGCCTTGTCCCATCTGCAGCCTAACGAGTACATCAAGACACTGGCTGACATGAAGGTGACCCTGAAGGAGCTGTGCTGGCTGCTCCGGGATGAACGCCGTGGTCTGACGGAGCTTCAGCAGCAGTTTGCCAAGGCCAAGGCCACTTGGGAGACAGAGAGAGCAGAGCTGAAGAGCCATACAGCCCAGGTGCGTCTCTCAGCTGTCAGATTTGGGAGCAGGGTGCCTAGAAGCATAGGAAGCCCTTCCCATCACTTTGTTTCCCAGAGAGGGCAAGAGACTTTCCTAGAGTCACACAGCAAGGGTGACCTAAAACAATGGGGAGCAGGACTTAATGGACCTGGGAAGGAAGCACAGATGGGCGTGTGGGGACAGCACAAGTATCTCCCCTGCACCATGGCCCACAGGGAAGGCAGATGAGGATGAGGGAAGCCAGAACACTCAAATGCCAGTCTGCACTTGGTGAATCCCTTCACCTACATGTCAACTCCTGCTGCCAGCTGTTCTCATTAGGCTTCCCTGAACCCCCTGCTCTGTTTTACTCCTTCCACTCAAACTGGAGGACTCCTTCCCTATAACAATATGACCAAATGAGCTTTAACCAGAAGCCTGGGTATTTGGTCTCTGCTGTGTGCCTGGAGGCAAGTTGCTGCCCCTCTCTGGTTTGAAAAGTGTGAGTAGGATTCCTCCTAGCTGTGCTCTGACCATCCCTGCCTCCTGCCATGATTCTGAAGGGCTTCCGCTGCAGGCTGCCTTCCCATGCATCATGGGCCCCTGAAAGTGGGCACATTGATGATCTCTGCTGGACAAGTGACAAAAAGACACAAATGAGTTAAGTTTCTTTCTCAAGGACTCCCAGCTAGTAAGTGGCAGACCTGACCATTGCCTTCCAAACCGTTGCTCCTCCTGCCTTTCCAAGACCATGATTCCCCTTCTTCCTAGTGCTTGTGGGCTTCTAGCTTCCTGGTGCTGCCATGCTCTCCTCCTGACCTGACCTGCAGATCTCTCACTGCGACCCCCTCTGCACCTTCCACAGTGCGTGCTATTCCTGATAATCTGGCCAATACTGAGGGTTAACACCCCAGACCACAGCTAGGAGGGCGTGGGGTGCATTGATTCTTGAGGTTGCACATTTCCCTCTTGCCACCTTGAGGCTTGGGGCCAAGAAAGCCGTCACACTGCACACATTCATTACATGACTGCGCACATCCCAGCACAGGGCTGGGAGTGGGGAAGGGGGGACATCATAGGGTCCCAGCTCTTTAGGAAGGGAGGTAAAACTTGTCCCCCCAAATGTAACTCCATATCAAGGTAAGAGAAGATGGACTGTCATGAGAAGCAATGGCAGAAGAACCTCTGTCATTTTGTAGCTCTGTGACCTGAGACAAATAGCCTCTGAACCTCTTCTTCCTCTGTAAAATAGCATAGCAGTTATCTTGCTGAGTTTCCATGGGGATGCTGAGATAATGATTGAAGAGCCCTTAGCACATGTATCTGTAGAGAGAGTGCCACAGCCTTGATTGTGAAGAAGGGTTAGTTCTGCATGGAGAGATGAGGGGTACTCCTAGGAGGGTTCTCTCCCCCGTTCCCTCCTGTGTTCAAGAGAGAAGAAGGGTGGATGGTGGGAGGGCTGAGAGGAGGGGTTCTCCTGGTGCCAGACGTTCAGTTTGCTCTTCTTCTGCAGATGGAGCTGAAGGCTGGGAAGGGGGCTGGGGAACGGCCAGGGCCCGACTGGAAAGCAGCACTACAGAGGGAGCGTGAGGAGCAGCAGCACCTCCTGGCTGAGTCCTATAGTGCTGTCATGGAGCTGACGCGGCAGCTACAGATCAGTGAACGCAACTGGAGTCAGGAGAAGCTGCAACTGGTGGAGCGGCTTCAGGGTGAGAAGCAGCAGGTGGAGCAGCAGGTAAAGGAGCTGCAGAACTGCCTGAGCCAGGTGAGAGAGCTGTCCCCAGTCCAAGATGACTCAAGCCACAGGGGGAGTCACTGTATGAAAAGTCTAGGAATGAACTCATTCTGGTATAGATGGATCCAGGTGCTCAGAAAATGCAAAAGGAAATAAATAGGTCTTTCTCTCTGCCGTGATCTCTCAGAATTGTGTTCCTCTGTGTTTTATTCTTAAGCATGCTATCCTCAAATATGGTCACTGTTAGTTTTGTGCTCATAAATTGCAATGAAAAGTTTGCTTTTCTGTATGACTCTGATTGGCCAGGTGTGAGTCATGCTACCATCCCTGGAACCTGCCAAAACTCAGGAACTTGGGAAAAAACCAAACATGGCTCCCCATGGAAAAATTGGTCTCTGATGCAAGATTGGTGGGGGTGGGGGTGGGGTGGGCTGTGGGTGCGTAGGAAAAACAATCACTGATCATTATATCCCTATTACAGTTAACATCATGCACCCAGCCACCACCCAAGCTGCAAGGCTCCACTTTTTGTTGTGAATTTTCCTTTGTTTTACTTTTTATTTTAATTATATAAATTAGGACTTCATCTTTTAGTAAGACCCCAATATGCAAAAGCATGCTCCAACCCATTTCCTTTCTTGCTATTTAAATTTATAATCACAGGAATTTTTTTAATCTTTAATGGAGCCATAGTGTACTTGTTTATACTTTGCCACTTTCATGGAGAGCTCCTACTTCGTGACAGAGTTGAGGGTGAACTCATTCAGTGTAACTGCTGCTTGGTGTTCCCAGCACAAACACCATGATTGATTATTCCATTTGATGAAATTGAGATTGTTTTTAGTTTTTCACTATTAAAAGTAGTGGTTCATTGACCATCCCCACACATGCATGAATTATTTCAGTAGGATAGATTCTTAGAAGTGACACTGCTAGGTCTGAGGACATATGCATTTGTATTTGCTAGAATCTGCCAAACCAACCCAACAGAAAGGCTTTGCCCAATTACATTCCCACTGGTAGCACAGTGAGAAGTGTCTTTTTGTTTTATTTTTGCCAGTTCTATGATTATCAATATTTAGTAGTACCTGAGGTGCAAGGCTGAGTTACCTTTAGGTGTAGCTAGATCCAGGTACCCCGACAATGAGGTCCAAGGTAGTAGCTCTGTCAGGTGTAGCTGGATTCAGGGGCTCAGTGAATGAGTATAAAATGCTGTCTCATTACCTTAATTTGCACTTCTCTGATTTCAGTGGAAGGTGAACATCTTTTCATGAGTTTATCGAGCATTTGTATTTTCTCTTTCTTACAATATCTCCTAACCACCAGCAGTCCTGCAAGGTCACTACCACTAACCCCTTTTTCAGATGTGGGGACTGAGGCTAAGGTATCTGGCCTCAGTAAGGGCCAGAGCTTATATCTGGCAAAACTGTCAAATCTGCAGACTCCTGATGCTGGGCCTTGCCCGCTCCCCAAGGACAGAACTCCCTAGGGTCACATCCACTAGGAACACTTGCTTGGTGAGTGCAGGGCAGCATGTCCCATGTCATAAGCAAATCAGATGCATCTATTTGCATCATCAAACCAAAGTCCTTTTTATAAAATAGTGTCTCCTTTATTTTATTTATTTATTTTTGTGTAGAAGAACTGGGGTACAGGCCAGAGATGTAGGGAGTGAGAGGATTCACCAGAGACAGAGTGGGGAGCAGAACAGGCAGATCTACTGAAATACACTGTTGAGGGGAGCAGTGGGCGAGACAGGAGAGGTCTGCTGTGCCATGTGCGTCAGCTCCCTGGCTGGGGATCGAGCTCAGGCTGTAGAGGTGATATAGTGCTGAGACTCAACCCCTAGGCCACCAGGGAAGTTCCAATATCTCCTTTAAAAAAATATATATGTTGGGGCCTCCCTGGGGGAGCAAGGGGTTAAGTACTGCCCTATGAAGCAATCTGCAGCCTCTGCAGCATGAGTTCGATCCCAGGCTGGCCAGGGAGCAACCCGCATGGTGAGGCAGACCTCTCCTGTCTCTCCTGCTGCTCCCCTAGCAGTGTATTTCAGTCAGTCTGCCTGTTCTGTTCCCCACTCTGTCTCTGGTGGATCCTCTCACCCCCCTGCATCTCTGGCCTGTGCCCCAGCTCTTGTATGCATAAATAAATAAATCTTTAAAAAATAAATTAAAAAAAATAAAAAATATATATATATGTTAACAACCCCAACCAAGTCACTTCTGATTGCTGGTCTTCACTTATATAATGGGGATGGCTGTTCTTGACTTCATCCCACAAAGCAGCTATGGAAATGGAAGGAATTTACATGACAGTTCCCAAGCACCACTTCTAACTGGGGCTTGAGTGACACTGCAGTACTCATTTGCTACTGCTCATCCATGGTGGTGTTAATTTGTTATTGCCTTTATTACTATTGTCTTTGTTGGGTTCGCAAGAAGCAACGCCTGAGACATGAGTTCAAGCACAAGTAGGGTGACAACCCGTTGTGCATTTCCTGGGACTTATCCTTTTAAAACTGGGACAGTCCAAGGCAAAGCCTCCTAGTTTTTTTAAGACTGAGGGTTTTCTGAGACGTAGGACTTTCAGTGATCAAACTGGGAATGTTCTGAGCAAATTTGATGAGTTTGTTACAAATGACTTGTAAAGGGATGGTGGAAACCAGGGTCGGGAGGGGAAGAAGCCAAGGGAGGATGTGCTTTCTGCGAAGTCTGCCTTCAGCTTGGTCTAGGAGAAGCCTCAGGAGGGTGAACAGGAACTGACTCATAGTTTGTCCACCATGAGGCAAGTGGTTGACCTTCTGGCCTTCATTGGTCATTGGCAGAGATCAGGTCCCTGTTGGCCCAAAGGCAATCCTCGAGAGATGATTGCAGCAGCAGATGGGGCAGGCCGCCAAGTCCTGGGAGCTGCTACTTCTGCTGTAACTCACCTGCCCAGCTGTGGACTGATTCCTTTCCTTCCTTAGGCTTGATCCTTTTACCTGGGAAATGGAAATAACAATAGTAACATCTACCCCATGCAGTTGCTGTGAGGATTAAATGAACTAGTGTGTGGTAGTAAGTGAGTTCCATCACATGCCCCCTGGGGCGCCAGGAGGGGAGGGAATCAGAGGCCGCCCCAAGGTCCAGTAGGAAAGGAGAGAGTGCAGGGATCCAGCAGTGATGGCTACTGTAGACGGGGCTGCGGGGTTTTGTATTTGCCATCCTGATGTGATTTGACTGCCGCTTGGCTGATCTAGCTGTTTCAGGAACTGTAGTGTGAGTTTCCATGAATAGCTGTTCCTTGTTAGGTATAATGACCTCTCTAAGGACACTTTTAAGTAGTTGCTTTCCTTATCATTCTCAAAATCCACCTGTTGGCGGCTCAGACTTGGTGCCCATTGGGAAGGGGGCTCCTCGTTCATGATCGGGGTCCTTGGGTTGCTGAGTGGAGCCCCATATAAAGCAGGCCCCTGCGTCACCAGCTTTGCCTGCCACTGACCTGCCTTCTTGATCTTTGCCCAGCTGCAGAAGGCTGCTGACCCCTGGGTCCTGAAGCACTCAGACCTGGAGAAGCAGGACAACAGCTGGAAAGAGGTGAGTGGGCAGAGACTGCCCATGTTCTCTTGGCTCCTAGCTTCACTAGAAATTTCCTCATTTTGGGCGGACATGACACAGGGGGCTAATCCTGTCCCACTGGTCATATTCTTACCCTTGGACTCCCCAACCCTGGGGTCTCTATTCCAGTTTGTGGTTTGGGAGGTTTTTTTTTTTTTTTTTAATATTTATTTATTTATACATACAAGAATTGAGGTACAGGCCAGAGTTGTGGGGGGTGAGAGGGTTCACCAGAGACAGAGAGGGGAACAGAACAGGCAGACTGACTGAAATACACTGCTGAGAGGAGCAGTGGGCGAGTCAGGAGAGGTCTGCTCCGCCATGTGGGTAGCTCCCTGGCCAGGGTTCGAACTCGCGCTGCAGTGACTGCGGATAGCTTCATAGGTTGCGTCTTAACCCCTTGCGCCATCAGGGAGGCCCAGGTTTGGGAACTAATGTTTGAAGGGCCCCCTCCAGTTCCATCCCATCCCTGGAGGAAAGGTTGGATATGTTTCTATTCTTTTTTTTTTTTTAAGGTTTTATTTATTTATCCATAGAAGAACTGGGTGTAGGCCAGAGGTGTTGGGGGGGAGAGGATTCACCAGAGAAAGAGTGGGGAGCAAGGCAGGAAGATCTACTGAAATACACTGCTGAGGGGAGAAGTAAGTGAGACAGGAGAGGTCTGCTGCGCCATGTGGGCTAGTTCCCTGGCTGGGGATCAAACTCAGGCCACAGGCTTAACCCCTACGCCACCCTGTGTTTCTATTCTTATCTTGCCCTCTTTGTGCCTTTGTAAAAAGCAGGGCCTCTTAATAGCTGTGTGATCTCAAGTAAGTTACTCTCCCTCTCTGGGCTCCAGTTACCTCATTGGTAAAATGAGAATCACATTCTCTGCCTTGTACAAATTCTAATTGTGGAAATCAATACTATAATGTTGGTAAAGTTTGGTCCTGAACCTCAGGTGTATTGTCCATATAGGAATACACCTGGAAACCAAACAGAGACCACACAGTCCCTTCGTGTCACACATATAATCTTCATGACAGCCCAAGGAAGTGGTGTATGAGTCAGGAGAGTTGGTTACCAGCAACAAAATCAATTCTGGGGAACTGAGGCAGGAGGTGGTTTTATCAGGGGCTCAAGAGGGCTGGTGATGCAAGATCAGAAAATTGGTGCAGGTCCTGGGAGATCTGTTCTGGAACTGGGGCGAGACAGGCTGGAATTCTTGTGCAGGGATTCCTGCACCTAACAGAGAACACTGGCTGCTTTGTTGTTGCCACCACATTTGGAGTAAATTTGAATGGGACTCTTTTCCTTGGGGTTCTCTCTTGGAGCCCCAGTTGGCCAAGGCGGGATCACACACCCATGGAGGAAGGGTTAGACACACACCAGAAACTGACCAATGGGATTCTGTGCTGACCTCACTCCTGTTCTACAAAAAGAGCTGGGGTCAGTTCTCATGCTAACCTCATCTTGGCCCCGGAGGCAGAACTGACTCTTCCTGTCTCTCTTCCTTAACAGACACGCAGTGAGAAGATCCACGACAAGGAGGCTGCTTCTGAAGCTGAGCTTGGGGGAACCGGCTTAAAAAGGTGCTAGTACCCCCTTGGCATGCTCAGCCCTGCAGCTCACCCCCTGCCCCACTCTGTAAACCAATTCCACACCTTTGCCTCTTCTTCCACACCTCTGCACCATCTGCCTCTCTCAGCAGAACCGGGAGAATAGTTTGTAGAGAACCCAAGTCATCCAGGAGCTTGGAAACTTGGGACAATGGGAATTTTTGCCTACAGTTTTGCTGTTTGTTCGATTCTGGCCATGGAAAACTAAGGCCCCCAATTATCCTAGTGGCAAAGAAACTCGAGCTCCTGTTGGTTGTTTCTTCTGTCTCTGTGGTTGGGAGACTCAAGCTGGACGCCCCTTCCCAGGATTATTGAGCAGCATCCTCTGGGTCTATGCTGTGGCTGAGGCCTGTGAGGACCATTAGGAAACCCTTAAGAGGAGAGAGGACACTGGCAATGAGAGCAGCTGGAGTAGGTGGGCCTAGGAGCCAGAGGGTGGGCTTTGGAGTCAGAGGGCAGGGTTTGAATTCCAGCTCCACTGTTTTGTACTGGGTTATAACCTTGGGCATACATCCCACCCATTTCATCTCATTGGGATAAGAAGAGTTACTTTCTAGGGCTAACAGAGGATGAACGGTGTGGCATGTACTAGACATTTTTAGTCATCAGGTTCTGTCTGGTGGATTCTTGAATTCCTCATTCAAAAATGTAATGAGGACTCAAGACATGGGGTAGAGGCAAGAACATTCGGGTTTATTGTAAGCAAGAAAACAAGAGACTGAGCTCCAGGGAGACTCTTTGTAGAAGGAGGCTCCTGGAATAAAGTGCAAAACCCGTTGTGCCTGCTGCGTGGATGATACCCTCCACTAACACTGCTCTTTTTCTGCCCTGCTCTTCCCAGGACCAAATCAGTTTCCTCCATGTCTGAATTTGAAAGTTTGCTTGACTGTTCCCCCTACCTTGCCAGTGAAGCTACCCGAGGCAAGAAACTGCCAAACAACCCTACCTTTGCCTTTGTGGGCACCCAACCAGTGGACCCAGAGAAGGACACCCAGGAACAGCCGGGGCTACCCTCACAGGGCTGCCAGGAGCCAGTGGGCAGGCAGATGCAGCGCAGCTACACGGCTCCAGACAAGACAGGCATCCGAGTCTACTACAGCCCCCCAGTGGCCCGGCGCCTGGGCGTCCCCGTGGTACACGACAGGGAGGGTAAGATCATCATCGAGCCCGGCTTCCTCTTCACCACAGCCAAGCCCAAAGAGTCCACTGAGGCCGATGGGCTGGCTGAGAGCTCCTACAGCCGGTGGCTCTGCAATTTTTCACGGCAGCGCCTGGACGGGGGCTCAGGGGGCGGCCCCTCATCATCTGGGACTGGCTTCCCAGCAGCCCTACACGACTTTGAGATATCAGGCAATATGAGTGACGACATGAAGGAGATCACCAACTGTGTGCGCCAGGCCATGCGCTCCGGCTCGCTGGAGAGGAAAGTAAAGAGCACCTCTAGCCAGACAGTGGGCCTGACCAGTGTGGGCACACAGACCATCCGCATGGTCAGTGTGGGCCTGCAGACTGACCCGCCCCGCAGCAGCCTGCACAGCAAGAGCTGGTCACCCCGCAGCTCCTCGCTGGTGTCTGTGCGCAGCAAACAGATCTCCTCCTCTCTAGACAAGGTACACTCTCGCATCGAGCGGCCGTGCTGCTCCCCCAAGTATGGCTCGCCCAAGCTACAGAGGCGGTCCGTGTCCAAGCTGGACAGCGCCAAGGACCGCAGCCTGTGGAACCTGCACCAGGGCAAGCAGAACGGCTCAGCCTGGGCCCGGTCTACCACCACGCGGGACAGCCCTGTGTTGAGGAACATAAATGATGGCCTGTCCAGCCTCTTCAGTGTGGTGGAGCACTCGGGGAGCACGGAGTCCATCTGGAAATTGGGCATGTCCGAGGCCCGGGCCAAGCCTGAGCCTCCCAAGTATGGCATTGTGCAGGAGTTCTTCCGCAATGTGTGCGGCCGGGCCCCAAGCCCCACTGCGGCAGCAGGAGAGGAGAGCACTAAGAAACCAGAGCCCCTCTCCCCAGCCAGCTACCATCAGCCAGAGGGCATGGCCAGGATCCTGAACAAGAAGGCTGCCAAATCAGGTAGCGGTGAGGAGGCCAGACTCACCATGCTTCCCCAGGTGGGGAAGGATGGTGTCCCCCGAGATACAGATGGAGCCACTATCCTTCCCAATGAGGTAGGTGGTTGGGTTCTCCTCTGTTTCTTTGGAGGTGGGTTTGGCTTATGAGGTTCAAGCTCTTTGGTTTTTAAACTCAGGAACTATGGTCATGTGTTTCAAAAGTCCTTGTGCTAGCCTGGAGTGAGGAGTGAAACTCCAGATTGGAAGGGCACAAGTCTAAATACTAAGAGCCAAGCAAACATGGCTTAACCAGCTGCCTTGCCACCAGATGCCAGAGATTGCTGGCATCTCCTCCAGGGAAGGGGCATGCTCACTGCTCTCCTGCCACCCAACGGTGTGCTGGAGCCAGCTTGTTTGGCTCCAGAGAGCCAGTCATGAGTATCTCAGTGTTCAGAGACATCACCCTGGTACCTTGAGGTCAGTCACAAAGGAAAGATTTACACCATGAAAATTGGTAAATGCTACCAAGTCAGGGCATCTCCCCTCACTCCTGGAAAACTGGTTCTTAACATTTGTCAGCACACCAGCACCCACCCCTACCAAGACTCCGTGTCTAAGTGCTCCCCTTTTCTCTGAAAACCTTTTTGCTGCACAAATCCTCATACCAGTTTTGGATTTAGGTAGGGCTATGCACATAAGAGAGCTTTGCAGAAAGGGAAGTAAAGGTCACTGAAGGATGACAGGGGGTCTTACAGAACCCAAGGGCAGGGACCCTAGGTTTCATCAGCTTCTTGCTGACTCCTTCTCTGGAGCTTCCTTTTCTCTGAGATCCTCTTCTTGCTTTTTTCTCTCTCAGTGTTGTATTTGCATGTGGTCCAGGTGGGCAGTCCTAGCTCTGCTTTTATAACATCTCTTTGTATTTCAGAATTTATTACAGTCTGAAATATTATTTATGAGTACTTATTACTGCTCTAAAGGGAGAAAAACAATAAAAAGAAAAATTGGAGAGGGGTTACATCTCCTGGGAACTGGTCTCTGGACACAGCTGAATCCAAATTCAGACTGGATGCCCGATTGGCCACCCATCCCTGAATGATCAGTTAGTGCCTCCCGGCTTCTGCTGACTTTTCCCCTCCCTTCTAGGATGCTGTCTGTGACTGCAGCACCCAGTCTCTCGCCTCCTGCTTCGCCCGGCCATCTCGCTCTGCCATCCGCCACTCTCCTTCCAAGTGCAGGCTGCACCCTTCAGAGTCTGGTTGGGGCGGGGAGGAGAGAGCAGTGCCCCCCAGCGAGTGACAGAGCAGCCGAACTCCCCGCCTCAACCAGCCCAGTTCCTGGATAGTCGAAGGGAACCAGCAGAGAGGATACTGGGTGAGGGGCCCGTGCCCTTGGCATCACCTCATCCTGGAGGACAGCAGCTGCACCACTGCCAGAGAACAGCTTTCCCATCAAGGTAAAGCAGGGTCTCCTGCTGACCGCTGGGTGGTGATCTCCAACTTCCCAGGGGAAGGCAGCAAGCGGGAGAAAGACCAAATCTGGGCTTTGGAAGCCTCTACAGAGAGATCCGTTGAGAGCCAATCCGTTGGGAGCCAAACCTTGGTCCTACGGGAGAGCCTTGCTTAGTTCTACACATGTCCACTTCTCAGAAGAAGCGAGGAAAGGATACACTCTGGCTGTGCCCCTCAGGGAAAGGGTCCACAGAGATGTACCCTGCCAACTACATCCCCCTTCTGTGGAGAGGAAACCCCGATGAGAACAGGCTTTGCTCTAAGTCAGGCTCAGCTTGGGGTTTCTGGTGGGGCTGGGCTAGGTGTCAGCCCTACCCTTCCTTTCCACCATCCCCTCCTCCTCCCAGCCCCGCTGCTCTGGATGCTGTGACTCCAGGGGGAATGATAGGGCAGTAACCACTACCAAGTGTCTGCTTGGAGTCCTGGAGCCCTGGATCTCCCTGCCCATAGCTTGGATGCAGCAAGGACTGGAAGACGAGGTGGGAATGTGTGGGGCTCAGGGTCGGGGAGCCACTACAACTGCCTCCTTTGCAAAGGTGACTTTGGGGGCCCTAAAGTTCTAGGAAACTCACTGAGGACAGAAATAGTCAGTCTCAAGATCTGGTGCACAGACACATGCCTACATGTCCATTGCCTTGATTGCTGGGGCATCTTCCCCAGCACCTTGGAGGGGTACCCCATCCCCACTGTGTTTACATCCTATGGAGGACAAAGATATTCCTGGTAAGAGACTCCCAGTTGGCCAGGCCAGGCCAAGGAGCACTCCAAGAGGCCAGCGCCCCAGGACACAGTGGTGGATTAGAGCGTGGAAACACATTTCTTGCCTAGGCTGTTCATTGGAATTTTTTTTTTTTACTATAAATATTTAAGGTGGTTTTACTTTATTTTAATAATTTAATTTACCCCAGAGTCCCCAAGATAATTTATTGGAGGTTGAGACATGCATTCTTGCCACTGGTACAATGTGAGGTTTCTAACGCACTGGGTAGGTGTAGAGTCCCCCTTGCAAACGAGGCAGTTCTACAACGAAGCCTGGTCTCCTGGTCAGACTCGGATGCCTCCCAGGGAGCTGGAGCCCTGCAGCTTGCTCCCCCAATGCCGCTGACCGTTTGACCTCACAGCACCGCTTTTCCCTCAACACCTGGTACTGGCCCGACCCTGGGCAGTCAGCTACAGATGCTTACTGACAGGTGGAAGGGTGGACCAACATCACCACTTCTGAACATTCTCTATTTCCTCCTGCCCTCTGACACTTTTTTTTCCATAAGTTAAACACTATTACTAAGGTTCTATCAAGAGCATGGAGAGCCCTCCAAGTTCCCCCAAGTGAGAACTGCAGGAAAACTGGACTGAACTTGGAGAATGTTGTTTATTGCAGCTTTGCACGTGGACCTGAGAGTCTCCATACCACCTCACTTCTCACCAGCTTGCCAGCCTTTCACCAGCCTCTCCTTAACCTTGTGACCTTTTGCGGCTCTTCTCCCAGCCCCAGCTCCCTGCCTACCCTTCCCCACGTGCCATGTGAGCTGCTTTTGCCATTGGAGTAATCACAACTTGGCTCATTGCAGCATGGCGAGGAGGGCCTCATAGGACCTCCCCCTCGGATGCCAGTGAGCCCATTCCAGTGGCACTCATGCCCTCACACCTGCACATATGCCGCCTTCCTGTATCTGGCTGGCGGCCCAGGGTGAAAACACCAGGGTGAAGTGGTTTGTCTGTGGAATTTCCCCATCAGAGCTATTCCCCCTAGAGCTCAGGAGATGCCTTTGCACTCTTATCCGCCTGCTCCCAGCCCTGCCCTTTCAGATTCATCTGGACCAGTTACCCAGATCCTTCATCTCCATTCTCTATCAGCATAATATCGGGGTCATGTCAGCCCCACCAGCCCGCTTCCTTATGACTTGTGTGGGCAGAGCAGGCCAGCTGATGCAGCTGTGGGTCAGTTTCCTCTGGAATGCTGCTGCTTACACCCAAGAGGTCAGGGGGCTCCCCCAAGAGGTGAGGGGATTCACATCAGGCCACAAGCCATCAGAGGCCTTCTACCAGCTCCCCAAGCTACAGAGGGTCAGGGAAGCTGTGCTCTCATCTTCGCGAAGAAATCCTCTTGAGACATGAACCTTGCCGCCTTCGGACCACTCAGCCTTACCATCGTCCTCGTCCAAGATTGTCCTTGCCATCTTCGTTGTCTCAACACCTGGCCGCCTGGCCAGCGTCAGAGGTTCCAGATCTTGGTTTTCGGTAAAGTTCCAGTTTCTTCTTTCTGCATGCCACTGTGCAAGGTCACTTGTCACTGTTCCTATAGAAACCTCTGGACATGGGGCTTGATGGGGTTGAACATGTTACATGTAAATATTGGTTTGGTTTGATTTTTTAGCATTTTAATTAGTAATTGGTTGTGTTTTCTTTTTTGGGGTGGGGGGATCGGTTTGTAAAAACTCTCTACTCTTTTGGAATGTAATTTCTAAGTTTGTTTCTTCAAATGCCTTTTAAGTCTTGGTAACATTCCTAAAGCAGATAACTGCCTGACCCTCAGTGGGGGTTATCCTGGAGCATTGGGTACCAGGAAGGAACGCTGCCCTTCATCCCTTTCTTCCTCGTCTTACTGTCCCCACACCTTTTAACTCCTAGCACCTCCTTCCTCCCTTCTCCTCCTCTATCCTTCTTCCTCCTTTTCCCTCATCTCTACTCTCTTCAACAAAGTCCCAAGGATCTCTGGTTTCCTAATCCCATATGAACCACGAGACTGGGTAAATGGTGTTGACATCAGTTGGTTGGGGTAAGTAAGGGGCCAGTTCGCCTGAATGACCCTAAAGTGGGTAGCCTCTTGTTTCTTATGGCTGCCTTCTTCCCATTGCCCAGTTATGCCTTTCTGGGGGCAATGATGTATGTGTGTGAAATGAAAATCCAAGTGCTTTGGTGCAGTGCACCATTGGGTCTTAGACCTGGCGTGCACAAAGCATCAAAATTCAATTCCCTGTCTCCCTGAATGCCCTTTCCCCCCAATTCTTTTCCCCCCAAACACTGACCCACCTACAAGAGGCCTGGCTTTCTATGAACTCAAAATGTGTCCTGCCCCCTGAACTCCCCAGGGATGCTCCTCCACTGGCTGCTCTCCTAGGTTACAAAGTGAAGGGCCTAAAGACCTGACCCTCTTGCACCCTGATCACCACATGGCTTCTCATGCACACCCCCCACACATCTTTCCTGCTTTCATCACCCAACCTGTTCTTCTCTTGCCCTCCCAACTTCCAGCCCCCTCCTCCCTCTCCCTCCCATTCAGATCACCCCCTTTTCAGCTCCACCAGCTCACCCCAAGCTTCCACTACCTGTTCAATAATAATAATAATAATAACAATAATAATAATACTTCCCTACCTACCCCACCTAGAGTACTTTACTATTTAGAAATCACTTTCCCATCCCATGTTTCCTTCAAACCTCCAGGACCAACTCCAAGAGGTTTACTCTCCAGGATAGAGGTTTAGTGCTCCCATTTTGTAAATTCGGAAACTGAGGCACCTAACTAGGGGTCCAGACTAGAACCTGAGTCCACTGGATCCCCCAACCCAACTCTGTATACTACTTATTAGGCAAACCTCCCACCCCACTGGAGGCTTTTTGTGGAGGCAGACAATGTCACTACCCAATCCAGATGTAGAACCAGAATCGTGGACCTGTGCATCTCAGAGGCTAGTCTGGGGCCCCCATACATCAGAATTCTTTGAGGGCCTGTCCAAAATGCAGCTTCCAGGGCCCACCTCAGCCTCTGGGCCAGGAATTTGCATCTCTAACAAACTCCCAGGGAGTATTCACTGCATCTTTTGAGAGCCCTGAGCGTTAGCGTCTTTCCTTTAACCATTATCCATAAAGATAGACCTTACAGAAAGCATGGGCTCAACCTAGCTCTGACTTGGTTTAATTACTCTGAAAATTTCCAAAAAGAATCAGAAGTAATTTACAATTTTAGTCATAAGACCGCAGAAATAGACTATTATTGAATATTAGTTCAATAAAACAAAGTCAAAAAGGAAGAATTATTGTTCCTATATCTAGTGAATGTAATTCCTGAAATCATGGTATTAAAATTTATTCTTGAGTTTCCTGGCAGCCATGGTGAAAAAGAGAAACACATTAGGTTTCATAACTCATCGTCCAGTCATGGAAAGGAAGCCTATCTGGTCTAGAAGACAAACTCTTCTGCCTCTAATTTATAGTCAGTGTTCTTTCTTCAAGAGCTTCTAAACTATTTGATGTTTTAGTATGTGAACCTAAGATACAAGGATATTTTCCAGGTGACTTTTTTTTTATTTTTTAAATAATAAACTGCTGGTCCTCCCTGGTGGCGCAGGGGTTAAAGTCTCAGCGCTATAAAGCTATCGCCAGCCACTGGGGCATGAGTTCAATCCCCAGCCAGGTAGCTAACCCACATAGCACAGCAGACCTCTCCTGTTTCACCCACTGCTCCCCTCAGCAGTGTATTTCAGTAGATATGCCTGTTCTACTCCCCACTCTGTCTCTGGTGAATCCTCTCACCGTACCCTCACCCTGCACCTCTGGCCTACCCCCTCGCTCTTGTATACATAAATAAATTAATTAAAAAAAAATAAACTGCTACCAAATTGGCCTTGGGCCCAGATCATAGAACTAGTCTGTGCCTCAGTTTCCCCAGCTATAAAGTGGGGAGAATAGCCTTCTACCACGAGCCTACTTGGAAAAGTGTAAGGTTCGACAGAGCAGTCTGATCATACTCGGCGTCCTCAGGCCAGCCCCTCAGTGCCCTGGCCCTGGGGTAACACTTTCCAGCCCCCACACTAGTATTAATGAATAGAAAGGGGATTGCAAGGTAATCTGCACCAATCTTCTCATTTTTTTAAAAAAGATTTATGTATTTATTAAGAACTGGGGTATAAACCAGAGATGCGGGGGGTGAGAAGATTCGCCAGAGACAGAGTGGGGAGCAGAACAGGCAGACTGACTGAAATACACTGCTGAGGGGAGCAGTGGGCAAAACAGAAGAGGTCTGCTGTGCCATGTGGGTAGCACCCTGGCTGGCTGGGGATCGAACTTGGTGCTGCAGAGGCTGTGGATAGCTTCACGGTGCTGTGCTTGAACCCCTTGCACCACCAGGGAGGCCCCTGTTCTCACTTTTTAATTGTGGCAAAATATACATAAAAGTTACTATTTTAACCATTTTTATAGAGATTTAAATACATTCATAATTTGCACAATCATCACCACTATCTCTTAGACCTTTTTCATTATCCCAAACTCTATACCCCCAAAACAGTAACTCCCTATGCCCCCCAGCCCCTGGGAAACCCTATTCTACTTTCTGTCTCTGAATTTCCCTATTCTAGGTACTCCATATAAGTGGAATCGCATTTGTCCTTTTGTCTAACTCCTCCATTTCTTAGATGAGAATCAGGCCCAGAAAAGGGAGTTGGCTCAGCCAAGGTCACATAGCAAACTAGAGGCAGAACCAGGACTAGAGTCCGGGTTCCTGGCTCCCAGGAGTTCTGCATCCCAGTGGTAGATGAGACACAACCCCACCATTCTGTGTTCTTGGTTGAGCCCCTCCTTTCTGTGAGCTCAGTCTGTTCTCTCTCCACCTTCCACCATCCTCTTTATCATCATCTTTGAAGGCTTCCCCTCCTGTTGCTTCTCCACTGGTTCATATCAGCAGACTTAGTGGCCCTGACGTTGGCTCCTGGCCTGGTTTTCCTCTTCGGGACTCTAGGCTTACTTGTAGCACTCATCCCTCAGCTCTTTGGGAACAGAATGACCTCCCTAGCTCTGCCCCCTTTGGTGGATTCCCTGTAATCTCAGCACCCTTCTCCCTGTCCTCAGGCTCACATTGTGTGTCTGTGGTCTCCCAACTCTGGTGTTTGCTTTCAAACACATGAGGTTTACTGGGTTCTATTTTACTTTGTATTTTCTCTCACCAAAGGGGGCATCTTTCCCTATTGCCCCATGCAGCATAAACCCTGCCAATTCTTTTCAATGGGCTTAGTTTAGTCCCAGTCCAGATAGACATACTCCAGTCCCACCTTAGAGCCACTTCTTCCTTGTCCACAGACTCCCAGCAAGACCCTAGAACCTTGTACTGGGAGAGTCTATGTGTGTTGGGTCCCCCCTTCTGGCCTCTTCCGCCGAGCCTAGTCCTGCATGGCCTTAGCTGTATAGCAGGTGCAGCCTGGCTTGGGTTCTTCTTTCCTCCCTGATCATCCAACCTTCTGTTTGTCATTTAACATCCCACCATCCTCTCTGCTCTCCCTTGGGCCTCAGGAGCAATGCTTCCTGGCAGAATCTGTAGCTCACTCTGGCTCTCCCCACTCCACTCCCCGTCCCTTGCCCTTCCCAACAGTGTTTGCAGTTTGCAAAGTCCACAGGCAGAAGAACCAAAGAGAACTGGGGACATGATGCCAGGCCTGAGTCCCTTGCATAGGCCTCTTCCCCCCAATCTTACCCTGCCCTTTCCCACCCTCCTTGGACCCTCTCTTTGCCCTATCAGCCCTTGTCCCTTCCCTTCCTGCCCTCCCCCAGCCCTCTGGATCCCAGGCCCCAAGGAAAAGGAGCTCTGGATTCCTCTAAGCATTCTTGAGGGGCCAAGATAGTTGGGGACTGGCTGCCTTGTCACCCTCCATTCTGATACCACTCAAACTGTTCCCCTGAAGAGGAACCTCATCTGGGAGTCTGGAGACCTGGTGAGGTCTGGGCAGACTTGTTTCCTTCTCTGAGTTTGACTGGGTTGAACACTGGGTTGATCCTTATGTGCCCCAGAGCATCTCTGGTGTTTTGGGGTTCTGTATCACCATCCTTTCTCCACTGGGCCCTGGTATCTTGGTTTCTCCCTTAGCTGTGCCACTGATCTCTGTGCCTTAATTTACTTCTCTGCACAGGGGGACTCACCACAACACTATTGCCAGCAGCTTCCGAATATTTTGGTGCCTCCAAGGCTGGGCTTTTCCAGCTGTGGCCCAGCACCCCACCACTGCCTCTAGCACCAGGTTTCTAAGGATGAGGTGCTTAAAGGTTCTCAAAGCTGCAGGCACATCACCTGGGAAGTTGATAGAAATGCAAAGCATTGGCCCCACCCAAGACCTAAGGAATGAGAGGATCTGTGGGGGAGCCTGGCACGCTGGGATTTCCCTATTAGAAAGAACTCATTGTGCTAGACACAGGAGTTTGCCAGCTACCAAACCTGGAATAGCCATTAGCGCAGCCTGGTAAGGGACTGAGGCTGGCCCAGACAAGAACTGATGGAAAACACCAACCTCATCTGGACTCCTAGAAACTGAGACCTCTCCCCACCCTCTAAAAAACCAAAACTATGTTCTTATGTTCTTATCTTCCTGGAAGCTGAAGAGCAGGAAGAAGGCATATCTTTTCCCTCTCCCTGCCCCTGGCTGGGTTCCAGCTTTGCTCACCTCTCCCCCTTGTCTGGGTTTTAAAAAAATGGTGTGAGGTTGTACCAGCCAGGAAGGGGGTAGGAGTCCTGGGGGCAGGAAACAGAAGATCCTAACCATTACCCCCTGGGAACCTCACTATAGGCTCATGCCCTCTCTTCAACAGCTAAGAAACCTAATTCCTCAAGGAAAGAATCCTAAATCCCCAGCTCCTCCTCTTCCTCCCACCCCCAGGGAGACCTTGTAGACAGTGCCAAAACCCGGCTCCAACCCCCAGAGCTGGGGAAGAGAGCCAGAAGCTATCCTTCCTCCTCCCCCTGGCCTTCCTCCCCTTCCCACTCCCCAATACTGCAAAGCCCCCTTCCTGCCTGAGCTGGTTTCCTGGTTTGGGTCCTGCAGTTGTGGGATCTAGGGTCACCCTCCCCCCAACATGCCCTAGGGCCTTTGGAAGGGAAGAGACCAAGGGCATCCTTGGGCCAAACTGTCCACCTCTTCTGTCCTTTGTTCTCTCTTCCCCACTCCTGTCTTCAAAAGGCTCCTTCCCAGGATGGATTGGTGCTAGGACAACCATGGTCCCATCTGACAGCTCTCTCTGCCCGTGTGTCTTATTTCAGACATGAGAATAACTGTACAGTGTAAACTTACAAAGGGTTTTTAATGGTTGTAGATTGGAAATAAAGTATGTCATATGAACAGTTTCCATGGACTTGGCCTCCTTTCTGCTTGCTTGTGGATCTCCCAGCAAATATGAAACCTTACTGTCCCACCCCCAGTTGCCTGGGGAGGGAGCCAGGGAATGCCGTGGCCAGCTGGCTGGTCTGGGCTGTCTTGGGGGGGGCCACCAAGTGGCTGAATGCTGACACCTGAGTCTCCCATGAAGCGTTATATGACCATGGAGAAACAAATGCAGAGGGCTTAAAAATGAAACTGAATCATTCTGCAAAGACTTAAAATTTTTTATTAAGGAAAAAATAAGACACTTTAGATGTGTTAATTATTTATTAGGTAATTATCTAAACCACTGAATATATCACAGATGCTGTGGGTTGGGGATTTGGGAGCTGGGTAGTTCTGACTCAGGGTTTCATGAGGTTGTAGTCAAGTGCCAATCACGCTGCGGCCAGGTAAAAGTTTGACTGGGCCTGGAAGCTTATTTGTAAAGTAGTTACTCTCCTGCTTGGCTTGTCAGGGTTAGCAGGAGGCCTCAATTTCTCCCCACATGGCCCTCTCCATGGTGCTACTTGAATGTACTCACAACATGGTAGCTAGCTTTCCCTGGAGCTAGTGACCTACAAAAAAGCAGGGAGGAAGCCACACTGTCTTTTATAACCAAGACTTGAAAATCACACATAATCATTTCTGTAACATCTTATTGGTTATACAGATCAACCCTAGGCAGTATGGGAAAGGATTACACAGGGAATGAACACCAGGAAGCAGGGATCATTAGGGGCCTCTTGGAAGCTGGCTACCACCTAAAATTTCTATTGGTGTCTCTTTTTTGAGGACCTGGCCTGTGCTAGGCACTGAGGATACAAACAGATGGGCCTGGAAGACAAAAAAGGAAATGTCAATCACAGAGTTTAGATCAGAGTGTTCAGGGAGCCGAGAGGAATCAGGAAAGGCTTCAGAGAAGAAGGGACATCTGAATTGACACCCGTGAACATGCATATTGAGAATCCATGTAATATGGTTGGGAGGCTGGAGAAAGGGTGACACATATGTGGACCAGCAAACTACAGAACTCAATATACCTTGCATCTCCCACAAGAAATGATGCTTGAGCCTCCGTGGTGGCACAAGGTTGAAGTCTCCCCACTATCAAACTACTGCCAGCCACTGCAACATGAGTTCGATCCCCGGCCACATGGAGCAGTAGACCTTTCCTGTCTCTCCCACTGCTCCCCTCAGCAGTGTATTTCAGATCTGCCTGTTTTGCTCCCTACTCTGGTGAATCCTCTCACCCCCCTGCATCTCTGGCCTACAGCCCAATTCTTGTATGCATGAAATAAATAAATCTTAAAAAAAAAAAAAATGATGCTGTTTTTCCCTCCAGTGGAACTGAAGGGGCGGTCCTCCGGAGGTTACAGGGAATTGTTAGCCTTGAATTCAGGGAAGTACACATGGATCTCCCGTGAACCTCCTCTCCAATTTGCCCTTTCTTCTGTTGTTTGTTTCCAAATAAACCCATTTTGTTGTTGGAATAACTGTTTTTATTCAAAGTCAACACATCTAAGGTTGTGATACTGACCAGGTGAAGGGGATTTGTAGGCAGGAGACTGGGGCGGGGGCAGGAGGGCAGCATGTGTGATAGTAGTGACCAGAAGAGAACTGGAGAACTGGAAGATGTCTGGTGTCACTGGAATGAGGAGTGATGAAAGAAGAGGTTGGGTCAGTTCACACAGTGAGGAAAGGAATGTCCACCGCCTGAGAATAACAGGGAGTCATGCAAGAATTAAAAGCAGGAAAAGAACATAATCAGGGGATGTGTTGGATCTGCATTCTATGAAGAAATAATCTCACTGTACCTCAGGATGGTCAGCCCTGGTTGAGAATGCTGAGTTCTGTTCTCATTAACAAATGAGTTTAGGGCCTCACTGGTGGCCTAGCGTTGAGCGCTGGGCTGGGAAGCTGCCCCCAGCGAGGGTCCCACATGGTGTGCAGATCTCTCCTGCCACGCCCACTGCTCCCCTCAGCAGTGTATTTCGTCAGCCTGCCTGTTCTGCTCCCTGCTCTGGCTCTGGTGAATTCTCTCACCATCCCGTGCTTCTGACTGTACCCAGTGCTTGTATAAATAAATAAATCTTTAAAAAAAAAAAAGAGTTTAAAGGTTGAGGGAGGGGATAGAAGAAACTGGGTACTGCTGAACCCCAAAAGTGATATTCAAGGAACCAAGAGCAGGTATCTGCTTTCAGATGGCCATTGGAGCCAATAGTTTGGATCTACAAGGTGGACATTCCAGGAAGGCAAAGTTCTGCCTCCCATCATAAAATTTCCATGGACCACAGCTGCTGTGGAAGGATGACCACAGTTATACTCCAGAGCTACTCCCCAGTCCCTCTTTCAGACTTTGTGGATTGCTCATAATTCCACACTTGGGATTTTCAGAACTCAAAGAAAGGACCACACATGAAATGGGACATTTTGATGGTGCCTGCTGGCCGTTGAAGAGGCAACCTGCTCTCTTGGGGCTCCCAGACATGCAAGGGATAGAAAGGCAGGCATAGGCCTGTTCCTGGGGGCATGGAGGAGTCCGGGGTCTCAGAAAAGGCTTTAAGAGAGAAAAACCCTCCAGTGAGAACTAAAATTGGAGGGTTTTGCCAAGAAAAATCATGGAAAGGCTTCCCAGGCAAAGAAAACGACTTAGCCAAGGAGGAGAAGCAGCAATTGGGATGGGCAGAGGAGCTGCAAAATGTTTGGGGGAGGGTGTGGCCTGCAACGAGGCAGCAAAGTTCAAGGCGTTCTTGAACTTTGCTTTGTTTTGAAGGGGTCGCAAGAGAAAAAGTGCCAGAGTAGGGCTGGGAGAGGACAGGGGTCCTCTAACTGAGCCCAAGTGTCCTCTAACTGAGCCAAGGGCCCAGTCCGTTCTGTTAGTCACATTTTTTGGAGTAAAGGAGATAAAGGGAGGGAGGACATCAGATGCCGGCTAATGCGCTTTCTTCGGCAAGTAACTGTTTCTCCATCTTACGTGGGCTCTGGGTTCGCGGGTGGAAAGGGACTTGACAGTGAAGTGAGTCCTGGGTGGGGACTCCCAGGGCGTGGCGTTGTGAGGAGGTGACAACGTGGCTACATCTGGAGGGGGTAGGACTAAAGCCAGGTGGGCGCGGCCTGCAAGAGCTTGGAATACCGTGTACGCATGCGCCGTGAGGGAGGGCGCCGTTTTGCGCGCGCATGCGTGCGGGGAAACGGGAGGGTGCCAGCTGCGCATGCGCCCTTGGTTGGCGGGAAGTTTAGGAAGCGATATTGGCGCTGACGGTGGGCGGTGCGCAAGGCCCGGGCCGGGAAGACGCGACCGCAGTGGCACAGGCGCTCCTCTAGTGACCGGGGTCGTGGAGAGAGTCACCTACGGCCTTGTGTTTCAGGGACGGAGGCTCCGACTCCGGTCTCTCAGAGGTGTGGAAGTCGAAGATCTCTTCCCGGGCGCTGCGCCGCCCTTCCCGGGACCAGCCCCTTCGGCGTCAGAACCGCCCCACCCAGCCGAGACCGGTAGCTGCCACCGGGATAGCGGAGACTGGTCGACCTGGGGACCCCGCAGCCTCCTCCTGGGTGAGAGGAAACTCGAGGGCAGCCCGCGTTTCTCGCTCAGGGCCTGTTTGCACTAGTGTTTGGGGTCGGGTGACAAGCCTGGGTTCGAATTCCGCTTCTGCCGCAAGTTGACTGCATAACAAGCTAGCGCCAGGCTTTTGACCGCTTGAACTTCAGCTCCTCTACTGCGACGTGGAATTAAGGGTAGCACTTACAGAATTGTGGCAAGGATTAAATTGGATAAGAATGCAGATAAAGCGATCCTGACATGTAATAAAGGCTTAACAGATGATAACTTGTTATTGTCTAGCTCTGAGTTTGTGTGATACAGCCATTACTGTGGGAATTTAGATTCTGGACCTGCACCTCCTTTGTTCTGTTATCTTTTCCACGTTGCTCTTATGTATTCATATCTCTCTACTAAGCATCCCCTACATACAGATTTCTTCTGGGAGGAGTATGCAGGGAAGAGATAGAGCTGTCTCTCAGTCATGTTCCTGCCCTCTGCCTGTCGGTTGCCTGGAGAGACAGTAAACAGGGCAGCCGGTGCGGCAGAAACAAAGGGGTAGAGAGAGTAACCAGCTCTGACAAAGAGAAATGGTGTGAAATCTTCTCAATGGAGCTAAGTTGGGAAGGGTGAATAAATTTTGCAGGCAATGTATGCAAAGATTCCTAAGTGGTACAGAGAATGGGAATAGCAGGAGAGAGCAGGAACAAATGGATTGGAACTAGTTTATGAAAGATACTGAATACAATGGAAAAACCTGCCAGAATGCATTGGAGAGGAGCATTGCTGGATGTAGGAAAACTGAAAAGGCTGTTGGATTATTGGGAGGTGAGGGAGGAAGGTGGTGGAAATTATGAGAATTGAACCAAATTGGTAACTGAAAATGGAGAAAAGACAGACTATTGGAGGTAGAATGGGCAGAACTGTAGATCTGAAAAATTACGAAGTAAAGGATGATGTGATTTTTCTGCATTGGAAGACTATGGCACAGATCATAATGCCATCACTGAATTAGGAGCTAGTTAAACACAAAATTTTGGGAATTAGGGGAGGATATGTGTTAAGGGAGATGGAATTATTTCTAGTAATGATAAGTTCTGTATAAATTCAGAACAGAAAGTGATGAAAATTGCTGCTTTTCTCTGGAGGAGGTGGGTAAGGTGACATTGGACTGGGCCTTATTATGTAGGTAGAATTTGTGGGTCAAGAATGGGCATTTAGAGAGGCTGGGAAGTATAAGACTTTGGGGTACCAAAGCCCCAGCAAGACCGAGCTGAAATGTGAAGAAGAGTAACCTCATTTTCCCATTTTCAGGGTCCTTCACCAGGATGACTTCAGTGACTAGGTCAGAGACTGTAGAAGGTAAGTACTGTGGTGAAATTCCATTGTTTCTTGCTTGGGTTCAGATTTCTAAGCTATGCTCAAGTGCTTTCCTGGCTCCTGGATTTGGAATCACATATTAACGTATTTACAGATGCTTCTTCAGTGTTTCCATGATCTGGGGTCTACATTTTCTTTTTCCACCTTTTTGCACAGATACTTAGTTGTGGTGCGTTTGATTCTGTATTTTGACTTTTTTTATAACAAGTGCTAGAAGAGGAACCAGAGACATCTCAGACTCATGATCATCAGTTGGAATCAGATCCCAACCCAGTGGACATTATTAATAAACCATCTGCTTCCCTGGAGATCACTCAAGGTGTTTCACAGGAAAGAATTCACCTTGAGTCTAGCCCTAAAAATGGAAGAAGTTGTGATCTCAGCCACCAGGAAGGACTTCAGCCCACATCCCTTCATTTGTCCCCTCAAGAACAATCTGCCCATCATCAAGACAGAAGACAGTCCTGGCGGCGAGCAAGTATGAAAGACACGAACCGGCGGAAGTCACTCCCTCCCTTTCATCAGGGCATCACAGGTGGGGTGCTATGTACATAAGACAGTGGAGTTCCAGCTCAGATAAGAGGCAGTGAGGTATGGAGGAAAGAGCATAATAGGAGAGACCTGTCTTTGCTTGACTTAGCTTGATTTAGTTATGTGACTGAGCAAATCACTTTACTGCTCAGCCTGTTTCCTCATCTATAAGAGGGATATCCTAAGATTATACGTACTAATGTCAAACATCTTGTAAAAGTTCAGTATTACTGCTCATTCTTTATATTATATTATTAGCTGCCATTGTAATCTATACCATGAATGAAAATTTTGATTTACAGTTGTTCAGCACTCACCTCTGCTAGATGAGAGGCATTATAGATGTCTTCTTGTAGCTTTATGCCTCATAAAGTAGGACAAGAGGTGGACAGATGTAACCTGACTTAGACTTTATAGCAAAATATTGCAAAGGGAAGATGCACATTAAAAATAAAGTGAAAGCCTAGTTTTTATACGTGCTGTATTTGAATGTGTTTTGTGTGATTTTACAGTATAATGGTATCAGCAAGCACTGAAGTACAGATTCAATGTGGAAGGTCTAATATATTTCAGGAAGAACTTACTGTGTGACCTTGAGCAAGTTACTTAATCTCCTTTGCTGTATGGTCCTCATCAGTAAATGGGATGAAATAATACCTATTTTACAGGATTAAATGAGTTGATATATAATATAGAACTTGGCACATAGTAAGTAAATAATCCAAATATTAAGCTATTGTGATTATTTGAAAAATACTATCTTTTTTTTAATAAATTTTTTTTTTATGAATCTTTATATATAATTTTTTCCAAAGATTTATTTATTTATTTATACAAGCACTGGGTACAGTCCGAAGTGTGGGAGGGTGAGAGAATTCACCAGAGCCAGAGTGGGGAGCAGAGCAGGCAGAAAGACCAAAGTACACTGCTGAGGGGAGCAGCGGGCGGCAGGAGAGGTCTGCACGCCATGTGGGACCCTCCTCCGGTGGCCCGGGAGCAGCCGGGGATTGAACCGGCGCTGCAGAGGCTGCAGGCAGCTTTGCAACCCAGTGCTCAACCGCTGCGCCACCGGGGAGGCCCGAAAAATACTATCTTACTTCCAGATAGCCTGATGTCTAGAAGGAAATCTGGGTAAAAACAGTCATTTGACATATAATTTGCTGCCACAGTGTGCTCGTGCCCTGTGCTCCTTAGGTGTACCAGGGAAACATCAACGATTCCCTAAGGGTGCCCCTACATTCATCTCTGTTCCAGAGCTAATGGACCTGAATTTCTGCATAATAGAAAAACCACTGATTTAATAAGATTAGTTATCTCCTGATTATTCTTGGCTACTTGCCAGGTACTCATTTATTATAGGCAGGAGATACATAGCCAGCTTATCGGAACTAACAGCAGTGAAGTAATTAAGTGAGAAGAGAACTTTGAAAACAATGCCAGCTAAAGCTAGAGGGCAAAAAGACTTGTATCTCATAAGTCTCAAAACAAACTGCCTTTGTATATATGATTGATATTTCTAAATGGTCATATTTCTAAATGAAAAAGTAGTGTTGGTATCTTATAGTAGTCAGAAGATTCAGTGGTATGATTATGTAAGATGCCCATCCAGTACAGTTGATTTACTATATGACCTTGGATAAGTAACTACCTGGCCTTTGTGCCTCAGTGTTATCATCTGTAAATGGAATTGATAAAATATTTGCCTCCAGTTTAATGAGGTGTGCAGAGCATTTATTAAAATGCCTTTTACATAGTAAGTGCTCAACAAATTATTAATGTTACTATTAGGTCATTATAGAGAGGCAACATGGTATTAGTGGGAAAAACACAGGTTTTGGTGAGACTTGGGATTGAATTCTGGTTCCACCAATTTCTGGCCTCAAATAATTCCCTCTGAGTTTCAGTTTCCTCATCTGTAAAACAGAATGCATAACTTTTTTTTTTAAGATTTATTTATTTTATTTATACAAGAACTGGGGTGTAGGCCAGAGGTTTGGAGGGTGAGAGGATACACCAGAGACAGTGGGGAGCAGATCAGGCAGATCCACTGAAATACACAGCTGAGGGGAGCAGCGGGCGAGACAGGAGAGGGTCTGCTGTGCCATTTGGTTCATTTCCCTGGCAGGGGATCAGAGTCATGCCTCAGTGGTTGGTGATAGCTTGATAGCACTGAGACTTAACCCTGGCACCACCAGGGAGGCCCTGGAATTCATAGTTAGTTGTTTTTTGGTTTTTGGTTTTTTTTTAATTCATAGTTTTTAAGAGAACTCAAGACAGTATATCTAAAGACAGTATATCTAAAACACACTGTAGTGCCTGTTATAAAAATGCTCAAATGTCCCCACTTTCTTTCTTTGAATAGTAAATATATAACATCCAAAAAAGTTAAAAATTTTATCTGCTTTGTTTTCTCTTAGCTTGATCAAACAAGATTCTACTGTATTATAGAGAAGGATACTAATAACTTTTTAAAAATTAGAATGCACAAATGGGTAGACTTCATTCCCTGGTCATCCTGAAAAAATGTGACTGTATATGATTTCTTCTGTTAATCAGAAAGGCTGCTTGGGAATTCTTACCTTAAGTTGGTCTGCATCATGAGGAAGGAAAATTTTCAGTTTTGTTATTTTGCTAACTATATAGTATCCAGCTCCTTGATTGTAATATTTTATGTTAGAGCTCAGCAGATCCATCAGTGTCAACTTACCAGAAAGTAAACGACTTGGCTCTCTCCTGCTTTCCAGTTTTCAGGTGAGAATCTAGGTACTGGAAAATGCTTTCTTTTTTTTTTTTTCTTTTTTTTTTTTTTTATAGAGGCATGCTTTATTTATTTGTTTGCTGGTTTGTTTGTTTGTTTTGTTTATACATGCACTGGGTACAGTCAGAAGCGCGGGAGGGCGAGAGAATTCACCAGAGCCAGAGCGGGGAGCAGAGCAGGCAGAAGGACCGAAGCACACTGCTGAGGGGAGCAGCGGGCGGCAGGAGAGGTCCGCGCCATGTGGGACCCTCCTCTGGTGGCCGGGGAGCAGCCGGGGATCGAACAGGCGCCACAGAGGCCGCGCTCAACCGCTGCGCCACCGGGGAGGCCCAAATGCTTTCTTTTTTCTTAGTCCTTTTGACACACCCAAGGAGAGATCAGTGCTGTGTGATTTATCAGTTAGGATTCACTCATGTTTCTCTTTTGGGGAGAGAGGTCTCTTTAGTTTGGATTAATTTAGAAGCCAGGATTAATCCCAGCAATTGACTTCTCTCTGGCTGTACTGGCTACCAATTCTGTTGGTGCAACTACTGCTAAAAAGCTTGCCATCAGAGATTGCCTCCATCTATTATCTTTTACTTATTGGCAGCAAATGATGTGGATTTAAAGTGGGTGGAGGTCAAAATGTAAGGTAAACTGGGTACTTGCAATTTGACTACCTTCTAAGTGAGTGTGACCTTTGTCGTATAGTTTTAAAAAATGTGTAGTGTGTTATATGGCTAGCTGGTGATTATATCTGTTTTCTTATCTTTCTCCTTCTGATTTATTTCACTTAATATAATCCCTTCCATTTCCATCCATGTTGCACAAAAGGCATGAGTTTATCTTTTTTGATCTCTGAATGTTGTTCCAGTTGAGGGCACTTAAGTTGTTTCCATAACTTGGCTATTATAAATAGCACTACTATTATTAAATACTGTTTATTATGTATATATGGGAATTCAAGATGCCTTACAAATTAGTATTTTTGAATTTTTGGGTTAGATGCCATGGGGTGGGATTACTGAGTCATATGGCAGATCCATTTTTAGTTTTTTGAGACACCTCCGTACTGCTTTCCACAAAGGTTGCATCAATCTGCATTCTACCAGCAATGCAGGAAGATTCCCTTTTTCCCATATCCTCACCAATGCTTTTTGCTTCTGATCTTTTTGATATGGGTCATTGTCACAGATGTATCTCATTATGGTCTTTATTTGCATTTCCCTGAAAATAAGTAATGATGAACATTTTTTGTGTGTCTCACGGCCATCTGTATGGCCTTTTTTTTTTTTCCCCTGAGAAATGCCTATTTAGCTGTTTCCCCCCTTTTTAATTTTTTTTTTTATAATTAACTTTTTTTTTTAATAGAGGCATGTTTTATTTATTTATTTGTTTGTTTGTTTGTTTGTTTTTATACATGCACTGGGTACAGTCAGAAGCACGGGAGGGTGAGAGAATTCACCAGAGCCAGAGCGGGGAGCAGAGCAGGCAGAAGGACCGAAGTACACTGCTGAGGGGAGCAGCGGGCGGCAGGAGAGGTCTGCGCGCCATGTGGGACCCTCCTCCGGTGGCCGGGGAGCAGCCCGGGATCGAACTGGCGGCGCAGAGGCCGCGGGCAGCTTCGCAACCCAGCGCTCAACCGCTGCGCCACCGGGGAGGCCCCCTTTTTAAATTTTTATATATTTTTTACATCATTGTTCTTTTTTTTTAAGATTTATTTTTTTTAATACAAGAACTGGGGTACAGGTCAGAGGCGCCGGAGGGTGAGAGGATTCACCAGAGACAGAGCAGGGAGCAGAACAGGCAGACTGACTGAAAGCACTGCTGAGGGGAGCAGTGGGTGAGACAGGAGAGGTATGCCATGACATGTGGGAATCGAACCAGCGCTGCAGAGGCTGCAGACAGCTTCACAGCTCTGTGCTCAACCTATAGTGCCATGCCACAAGGGAGGCCCTCATTGTTCATTTTTAAACAATGTTTGTTTCCCCCTCCCCCTCAGATGTAGTCCCCATAGAATTTCCTTCACTAGTGTACCTCTGCACCATCACCAGTCCCCTGTGCTCCTCCTTCCTTCACTCTGATCCCTCTCCCTCCTCCTTCCCTCCAGGATGACTCTGGTTTATAATTGTCTGTATGTTTTTGCTTTGTTGTGTTTTGTATTGTTATCCCCCCTCCCCAGATTATATCTATTTAGATAAATAAGCTATGTGAATTAAATGACTTTTTTCTGAAACAAAAAATCAAATTGTATAGTGTGAACAAAGAGTTTTTTTCCTGATCTATTTGTTTATATGAAAAAGCTTAGGTAGAAAAATTAAGTCATGTTTACTTTCACTTTTATTAAACATAAAGTTACATGAACTCAGACTAGCCTGGAAAATCTTGGTTGTGTACTGAAAATGCTTTTATTTCTTTAGTTCTCTGTTCAGAAACTTGAACCTTTCGTAAGGGGCACTGAGGGCTTCAGTCTTGAAAGTTTTAGAGCCAAAGGTAAGTACTAAGCTTGACCTTGGACTATACTTTCTACTAAAGTCAATCAAAACCTCACTAACGGGATCCCCTTTTATAGGCTCTTCAGAAAACCAGCTGCTTCATGAAACTGGCCTCCCCCTTTTTTTTTTGTGGAATTGTCTTAAGAATTAGAATATATATAAGGGCCTCCCTGGTGGTGCAAGAGGTTAAGCACCACACTATGAAGCAATCCACAGCCTCTGCAGCATGAGTTAGTCCCTGCTGGCCAGGGAGCAACCCACATGGTGCAGCAGACCTCTCCTGGCTCACTCACTGCGACTCGCTCACTGCTCCCCTCAGCAGTGTACTTTGGTCAGTCTGCCTGTTCTGTTCCGCACTCTGTCTCTGGTGAATCCTCTCACCCCCCACATCTCTGGCCTGTACCCCAGCTCTTGTATGCATGAATAAATGAATCTTTTAAAAAAAAAAAGAATTGGAATATATGCTTATGAAGTTCAGAAGGTCCAACTCCCACACCCAATCTCAGCTCCTCTCCCCAAAGGCACCCACAGCCACCAGTTTCTTGTGTGTCCTTCCGGAGAGATTTATTGTATTTCCAAACTTTTTTTTGGGAAGATTTATTTATTTATGCATACAAGAACTGGGGTACAGGCCAGTGGTGTTGGGGGTGGTGGTGAGAGGATTCATCAGAGACAGATGGGGAACAGAACAGGCAGACTGAAATACACTGCTGAGGAGAGTCAGGAGAGGTCTGCTGTGTCATGTGGATTGCTCCCTGGCCGGGGATTGAACTTGTGCTGCAGAGGCTGTGAATAGCTTCATAGGTTGCATCTTAACCCCTCGCGCCACCAGGGAAGCCCCTGCATTTCCAAACATTTATACATTAAAATCAAATGCAAAATAGTTTTCACTGTCCTATAGTGTTTTTATAGTGTTTTTATTTTTTTAATTTAATCTTGCAGATTGTTACATTTAACTCATATAAAGCTGTCTTGACGTTTTAATAGCTGCATGCTATTCTCTTTTATAAATGCACTGTATCTGATTTAACCAGTTTTTTGTTGACGTATTTTAGGGCTATTTTCTAATCTTTTGCTGTCACAATGAAATGGGCAATAAATACATTTTTACGCAAGATTTTTGGCGTATATGCAAGTAAAAATAAATTTCTAGAATTGTAATTAACTAAAGAAATGATAAAAATGGTCAGATTGCCTTTCACAAAGATTGCATCAATTATTCTCTCACCAGCAAAATATGCAAGTACCTTTTCTCTTACATTTACCAACAATATTATCAAACTTTTAGATTTTTTACTGTTTAATAGATTATAAGTGATATTTTGTAGTTTAAATCTGTGTTCCTTTTCTTTCAAAGACAAGCATTTTTCATTTTCTGTGTAATCTTTATTTTCTGTGAATTGTCTGTATCCTTTCGTTCATTTTTAAAAATTGGGATGTTTGCCCTCTTATATTGATTTTAAGAATTCTTTCTATGTTAAGGAAATTAACTGTTCATCTATAATATGTTACAAATTTTCTTTCCTAAGAATCAATTTTCAGTTTGCTAGGAGATAATTATTCTCTCTACGGTATAAGTACACAATAATCCATGGTCAGAAATACTCAATGTTATACACTTAAAAGACCTAGAAAATACCTGAAATCAGACTTACTTGTGAGTTAAAATGTTTATCTCAGTATTGGACTTTCACCGTAATTGGAGTAGATATTGCCAAGGTTATCTTGGCAGTAACTTAACATATCCTTTCCCCTCTGTATTCTTTAACAATATAACTGTGGATTCTTCCAACTGTAAGAGACTTTAGGCCCATAATTCTTTATTTGCTTCCAACATTTCTCATTATACTCTTGTCTGTTGCCTGACTTATATGTTCTTCCAGTGGCAGCAGTTCAGAGCTCTTGAAAACAATGAAATGTCAGTGCAGATGTATCTTTTAAACCAGTTTTTTACCAGTGATGTATAAAAACTACCATTAAAAAAATGCCATAAAGTAATTGCCTTCCATTTCATCTATACATACCAAAAAACGAAAAAGGATAAAATCTTTCTGCCTATTTATGCCACATTATTTAATGGTTGAGAGGACCAGAATGTAAGAGGGGACCCTGAAGCTGGAACCACCTTAACTATGCTATATCTTTGTTAGCAACTTGGTATGAACATTTATATTCTTTTTATTTTATAATATATAATTTTATTCTTTAGTATCGTCTCTTTCTGAAGAATTGAAACATTTTGCAGACAGACTGGAAAGTGATGGAACTCTGCAAAAATGTTTTGAAAATTCAAAAGGGTAAGAGCATTTCCCCTTTTGTTCTGAATTATGAGTTAAATCTTTTATTATAATTAGATGGTTCATTCACTCAACAAACATATCCAGCAACTTTTTAAAGTGTTTGTACATAAATTTTTAAAAATTTTTATTTATGTATATAAGAACTGGGGGGTAGGCCAGAGATGCAGGGAGGTGGGTGAGAGGATTCAACAGAGACAGTGGGGAGCAGAACAGGCAGATCCACCGAAATACACTGCTGAGGGGAGCAGCGGGCTAGGAGAGGTCTGCTGTGCCATGTGGGTTAACTCCCTGGTTAGCTCATGCCGCAGTGGCTGGTGATAGCTTGATAACGCTGAGACTTTAACCCCTGTGCCACCAAGGGAGTCCATATATCCAGCAACTTCTATGTACCATGCTCTTTTAGATACTGGAGATATAGTGATTATGTCAAATTAAGAACTTTCTTATATATTGTAATACAGGAGACAGTCAAATACAAAGAGAATAATGATTTCAGGTAGTGACAATCTTAAGAAGCCAGTGAATATGTTGTGACTTGAGTGGATGGGCAATTTTAGCTAAAGAGTTCAGAGAAGGCCTCTAATGACCTTTTGACTGAGAACCATCAGATCTGCACGGTGAGATAGAATCAGCCATAGAATATATGAGAGGAAAAGCATTCTTCAGATCTTTGCTAGCCAAGAAAATAAGCAAATGCTTTATAGCTGTCAGCAAGCAAGAATATTAGCAGAAAATTTAAAATTCACCTCCCCCCCACCCAAACTGGTATTTCCTCTATTGGGTGGGGCCCAGTCTTCTTTCTATACAATATCCTTGGGCTAATATCATGAACTTCTGAATTAATTTTGACTTCACAAAGGTCTAGTTTGCTTTCTAGCCTTAGAATTAACATTGCTGGGGCCTTCCTGGTGGCGCAAGGGGTTAAGCACCACACTATGAAGCAATCCACAGCCTTTGCAGCATGAGTTCGATCCCCGACCAGGGAGCAACCCACATGGTGAGGCAGACCTCTCCTGCCTCCCTTGCTGCTCCCTCAGCAGTGTATTTCAGTCAGTCTGCCTGTTCTGTTCCCCACTCTGTCTCTGGTAAATCCTTTCACCCCCTGCATCTCTGGCCTGTACCCCAGCTCTTGTATGCATAAATAAATAAATCTTTAAAAAAAAAGAATTAACATTGCTGTTCAGAAAGTGAAAAATATTTTAGTTCAACGTGATATCTTTTTTAATCCAGTGAGTTTAAGCTCCAGGGTGCTACATCTTAGCCAGAGGTAGAGGCCATGTATCACAGGCCTTGGCAGAAAAATAAAAGGTTGACACAACTAATTTGTCTTTGCCAGGTAGAGTATCAAGTACATCTGTGAAATTTTGGCATTTTCAGTGCCTGCTTGTTTTCTATTAGAATTAATCCTCCAACTGAGGTGAACCACTGATAGGAGTAAAACATAATTCCTACTCACAGACAGATTCAGTTTAAGTGGGGAGATAAGATGAAAGGTCATGGCCTTCCCTGGTGGCACAAGGGATTAAGTCTCAGCACTATCAAGCTATCACCAGCTACTGCAGCATGAGTTTAATCTCCAGCTAAGGAGCCAACTCACATGGCGCAGCAGACCTCTCCTGTTTCCCCTGCTGCTCCCCTCAGCAGTGTATTTCAGTACATCTACCTGTTCTGCTCCCCACTCTGTCTCCCGACTCTGTCTCTGGTGAGTCCTTTTGCCCCCCTGCACCTCTGGCCTATACCCCACTTTCTGTATGCATTAAAAAAAATTCTAAAAAAGAAAAAATGAAAGATCATATGAAAAAGTATTATTAGGCCTTAAAAAATGTTTAAGTTTTGATTAATGGGAGGGGTGGGAACTAGAAAATGATGTAAACAAAAGTTTGAAGATTGAAAACCCAGATATTTGAAGGCACTCTGATTGGGATTATATGAGACAATAGATAAAAAGGTAACAGGAATCAAAGTTGGTGAGCTGGCTGGAACTAGAACAAGCCTTAAGTACCAGGAAAAGGAATTTTGACTTTTCTTTCTAATGCAATGGAGGGTTATAGTGCTTTTAATAAAAGCAAAGGGAAAAAATTAAAGGCATGTTGTAAGAAAATCTGACCTTGTGTGAATTGGAATTGAGAGAAATAGAAGAGGACAATACCACTTAAACTAAAGCGATTACCTAGTTCAAAAGTAAGAGTCCAAGAACAAATACTTGTTGAAAAATAAATTCTGAATGATTTATTTATTATTGCCATTAAAGTTATATAAGGTATCATGTTAATAAGTGCTTCTTGAAAGATTTGTGATTTCATTCCTTTTTTCTGTATTCTAGAAAAGAATCCACAGATTTGTCTGTGGAAACATCAGTGGCTGAGATGAAGGAATATATAAAAAAGTAAGTGAAAATGAGCAAAACTTTGTTGGGAAATGTAAATTTGCCTGGGGTTAACAAAGCCTGGGAAAAATGTGTAGTAAACATCCGGTTCAGAGTGTCAGTACTAGTGTATCAACACTGAAAGTCAGAAAGCTGCATATTGGGATGTTTGTGCTATGCTGATGGCCAATTTCATAGAATGGAGACTAGGGAATAAGGATGTTAATTTGGTTTTAAGAACTCATGCTTCATTTGATTAAATTAACATCCTCTGAATCAGTTATACTTAATCCTTTAATGGCCTTTTTATTCACATTTGACAACCAGAGTATACACCTAATGCACTTACTGTTGCCCTGAGTGATTCACAATGAGATGATTAAAATTTAACTGACGTTTTTCTGGCTTTATAGATTTTCTTTAGAGCGTCAGAATTGGGATCAGCTCTTGCTGCACTACCAGACAGAGGCTCAAGAGATAATACCCAGGTTAGAACTGTAAATGGGTAGCTATCTTTTTACCTTGTGGGATTTGATTTGAATTGATTTTAGTTCTGTTAGCACAAATTGAATGGTAATCTTTTGTCATGGATCAACTCATCAGAGCTCTGTAAAGTGTCTATTTATTGTACTCTGACTGAATGGAGAGTGAAGGGGAAGGCAAGGAAGAGTTGGTATCACATTTTCAGTCGAAGAACAGAATTGCTTCTGTTCTGTGCCCTTGGCTACTGTCTTCATTCCTGGGGTGACAGGCACATCTCTGCCATGTACCTAAGGCTGGGTCAAGAACAATAGTCAAGGCCTCCCCGGTGGCGCAGCGGTTGAGTGCTGGGTTGCGAAGCTGCCCGCAGCCTCTGCAGCAACGGTTTGATCACTGGCTGCTCCCCAGCCACCGGAGGAGGGTCCCACATGGTGCGCAGACCTCTCCTGCCGCCCGTTGCTCCCCTCAGCAGTGTACTTCGGTCCTTCTGCCTGCTCTGCTCCCCGCTCTCACTCTAGTGAATTCTCTCACTCTCCTGCACTTCTGACTGTACCCAGTGCTTATATAAATAAATAAACAAATCAATCAATCAATATTTTTAAAAAAAAAAGAACAGTAGTCAAGGGACTTCAGTGAGCCAATGACATTTGAGCTACAGGTATAGGAGAAAACTCTGGGGCCTTGATGAAGATGCAAAGACATGAAAGGGAGTGATGGATGAGAGATGGGATGTTTGGTTTTGAAGGCATAAGAAAGTGGAGAAGTGCCAGATACCTATTTAGTTGACTGTTTAAACCAATGATTTAAGCTTTTTTCCCACTCCCAAATACACTCTTAGCTAGAAACTCAACTATGATGTTAGCTAAAGCCTTTATTACAAAAGTGACCTCTTAATAGAGAGGCGTTTTGAAGAACACTTTCTGAAAAATTCCCCAATTCAGGTATTGATAGTTATGTTACTTTATTCACCCCTTATAAATAGAATATGTATTCTATTTATAAAGGTAGATAATGTATAAGATGGCAATTTCAGAAAAAAACGTTTCAAGGAATATAGTTGATTAGTTAAATAGGAATGCTGCTGGAAGCAGACAGTCTATTCAGATGCTAACTACTCCTTACTTCTGTGACATTGGGCAAGTCACTTAATGCCAGAAGTTCCTCATTTGAAAATGGAGATACCTATTGTGAGTATTAAATGATATTAAGTGGAAAATACTTAGCAGCATCTGGCACCCAGCAGGCAGAACCTTTGATTAAGAAAGCCTATATTTAAAGTCATGTGAAAGAATATTGATTTAGTTTAGTAAAGCTTTATAGGAGGCTTTTCCCCCATATGTATTTTTTCATATCTTTTCCAGAAAATAATTATAAAATTCCTTGAAAACTTTTGGTTTTTAGAGGCTCCCCTGAAACCAGAGTTACTGAAGTTAAAGTGGAACCTACGACATATCTTGGGTCTTCCCAGAGTGAAGTCCTTAACACCAAGCCTGACTACCAGAAAATATTACAGAACCAGAACAGAATCGTTGATTGTATGGAGTTGGTGGTGAGTTAGCTCATGTTTAATTGATTGACATTCCAACTTTGCTACCCTGTGTGTCATCCTTGGAAATTCAAAGACCTGGAGAATATATAAAATAAGATGAATTAAGTATATTCAGCTCTATCTTGGGGGAGCATGGAGACACAATAAAAAACAAATATCTGGTGAAAAGTGCGAATAAAGCAGGGCCAAAGGGAGAGAATGTGCAGAGAGGGCGGCTGGTTGCTATTTAGAATATTTGTTGAAGGTTTGAAGGTCCCTCTTCAGGGGCCATTTTAACAGACTCAAAAGATGAGGAAGTAAGGGCACTTGGGAGATTAGTATTGTATTAACCCAAGTAACAACAGGAAGCTGATGGCACTAGATAGAGGATAATTCAAGGAGTTTAATTACAAGAGGGTATGGAGGGGCCTCCATAGTGGCGCAAGGGGTTAAGTCTCAGCACTATGAGGCTACCACAGCCACTGCAGCTACAAGTTCGATCCCCGGCCAGGGAGCTAACAACCCACATGACGCAGCAGACCTCCTGTCTCGCCCACTGCTCCCCATTGGGCGTGTATTTCAGTAGATCCTCCTGTTCTGCTCCCCACTCTGTCTCTGGTGAATCCTCTCACCCCCCCACCCCCCACCTCTGGCTTATACCCCAGTTCTTATATGCATAAATAAATAAATCTTTAAAAGAAAAAAACAAGAGGGTATAGATAAAGGTGTGGATTTGGGGGGAACACAGTGGTTAGTGAAGTAATCTGGGGCTTAGAGGCAGCTGAGCTCTTACTGCCCCTTCCCTAGGACTGAAGGGAGAACAGTGGGGAGAAAGTCACAATTGACCCCTTTGAAAGTCATGCCCTTCAGCTGAAAGACAGCTAATTCAACTTGGAGCAAGCCTAAGTAAAAGTACTCTCACCTTATTCAGCTCCCTCCTACTTGGGCTTCCTCTTGTTCAATTCTTAACCAAAAGCCAGAGAACATAGAGTCCTGTTAATAGAAGTTTTATAGGTCAGCCCCTGGCGTAGAGAAGAGTGGAGTATGGATTTGAAGGAACAGACAGAAAATGTCTGGCAAAAGCATTCCAGGTTGAAAGAATAGCAGAAGTAAATCTTGAGTAGGAGCTTGACTGGCATGTTTGAGGAGCATCAGAGAAGCCACGGACCCTACAGCCCATAGCTCTTTCTCCGACAGATGGATGAACTGCAGGGATCAGTGAAGCAGCTGCGTGCGTTTATGGACGAAAGTACCCAGTGCCTCCAGAAGGTGTCAGTACAGCTTGGTAAGCCTGTCTGTTAAGGGACCATGGCTTGGGGTGTTTTTTTCTGGGTGCCTTTCAAAGCAAAGGGCCTCAGAGGGTAAGACCTATATCAGGTGATTTTTTTCTCCCTCACAATAACTATTTTGTTGTGGGTACTCAGAGTTGATGGGAAATTTAGATGTAAATTTCACGGAAGCACAGTAAACTGGGAATTAAATCCCCATGAACTGTGTTATTTTGGTAAATCCAAGAAAGCCTAAAGAAATGCCCATTCTTTTTTTTCCCTCTTCATTTCTCAAGAATCCACTAAATAACCCTGGCATTTCTTCTCCGTAGCTTTTCCTGACCTCCAGCCCTTAATTATTTGTTACACATCTCTTCCCCTTTTTTTTTATCACATTGTATTGTGGTAATAGTTTTGTTATAGGACAGGGAGAGGGGCAGCCCAAACCCCGCAAACCTGCCTATTCTAAATGGGTTCTGCCATCCGCCGCATCAACACAAAACATATGAGACTTTAATGGGAAGGAACTTTAATACAACTAGGAAACAATACAGGAAAGGCAAATAATCTAGTTTCTAAATCAAGCACCCAAAGTTACCCGTCCCCTCGTGGGTAAAAGTCCATCCATATGGGAATGGCGCAGAGCAAGGCCCCAAAGCCTGCCACAAGTCTAAAGCATCTTCCAGTGGGGACCCACAGAAAAGGGTCAGAAACAAGCAGACAAGCCCGGAAGGAAAAGAGCAAAATCAACATCAAGATAAAAGCTGCCATTGTCACCTCCCCATGGGTCTCACCCACATCTGTGTCACCCAGTCCACGACCAAAAGACAAGCGCAGTTTCTTTACATGTCTCTAGGCTCCATGCGCCTCCTCCAGGTCTCCTTCTGGCTCCATCCTGCTTCCTCCTTAGTCTCTTCTCCAGCTTCTCCTCTTCCTGCTCAGCTCCACCCTCCCTTGGGTGGGGCAGGGAACCGCCCCCTTTCCTGGGGACCACCCTGTTACAGTTTCAGCTAGCTTTCCCACCAGACTGCTATCTCCTTGAGGACAGAGACTCTTTTTTATCATTGTAGTGTCCTTTAGTTTCTGGCACAATGTCCATTTAGTGTGTTTTCAATAAATATCGTTTCAAGTGTACTGAAATTTGTCTTTTGGCTCCTTACCTTTGCAGGGAAGAGAAGCACACAACAATTACATCCCTCACCAGCTCGAAAGTTGCTCAAGCTTCAGCTATGAAAACCACCTACCACATACTACTCTGGATCTTGTTAGTGACCTTCTGTAGCTTTTCTGCCACAGGCCCTTTAAGGAGAGGGCGGGAAGAGGCCAGCATGTGGTAGCTATGGCCGTCTGAGCTGAGGATTCCGTAAAGCACTTCAGTTTTTTTCCCCCAAAGGTGATGGGACTTAAGCATTGAAGAGTATCAGCATTTTTCCCAAGAATGTGCAAACTATTGAAATTTCTGTTTTGGCATGACCTTCAGAATTAGTGGTCCATTCTTTTAAGTATCCTTCACGGTCAGAAATCTTTATTTTGTGAGGATTTTTAGGTTTTGAAACAATTCAGAGACATTCAAGATCAAAGCCAGTGAAATATTTTAGGGGTCAAGTTGGGTTTTAGTTGTAAAGGAGTGAAACTGATTATCTAGTGTAACTCTGAAGGTGATTTTAGGTAGAGGAGTTGGAACATTGTTTGCATCATGTTAATACATACATCACTTCACAATATGTCCAAATGGACGGAAATAGTACTTGTTCTCTATGCCCTGATGTCCACGGTATGCTTTGGCTTTCAATACTAAGCTGACGTCCTAAATCCTGGATTCATGGCAAGAATGGTCTAAGTGCTCCCTTTTCATGGTTAATAATCTGCTTTATAAAATTTCACATAATTAAAAACTTTCTTTTGTCTTTTTTTTTTTAAGATTTATTTATTTTTTTTATTTATTTGTTTATTTATACAAGCACTGGGTACAGTCAGAAGCGCGGGAGGGTGAGAGAATTCACCAGAGCCAGAGCGGGGAGCAGAGCAGGCAGAAGGACCGAAGTACACTGCTGAGGGGAGCAGCGGGCGGCAGGAGAGGTCTGCGCGCCATGTGGGACCCTCCTCCGGTGGCTGGGGAGCAGCCGGGGATCGAACTGGCGCCGGAGAGGCTGCAGGCAGCTTCGCAACCCAGCGCTCAACCACTGCGCCACTGGGGAGGCCCTTTTTTGTCTTTTCTGCTAGGGCAGCCTAGCAGCAAATATAATTCTTTGCCTGAATGTAGAAGTGAACAGTGGTATGGAAATAAACGTCAACACTAAGTACCAGTAAATTATCAACTAATTTATTGTTGATGTTTCTTGTTCTCTGATCTTCCTAAAAGGAGAAAACATATTTCATTTAAATACCCAGTCATAATCTTAAGTTTTAAGCAGCTGTTAGTGAGAAGTGATAAATCCCCTTGCTTTGACCTACACTCATTTTTTATAGTTGGAAGTATTTGTAGAGCTCCTGCTGTATGCTAGGCACAGTTCTAGGGACTAGGGAGAAAGCATAGAACAAAAATGCATGATGCTAACAATCTAGTGGGATGCTGGAAAATAAAGAGACAACTCCACAGAAGTGATATTTTAGTTGATTCGGGAAAGAGTTTAAATAGGGTAATTAACTGAGACAGAAGGAACTTTTTCATATGTGTACCCCAGCTAACTGACTGAGCCACAGAGGCCTAGAAACAGCATTTTCAAAGGCCTGAGGAGGAAGGGAATGAAGCATTCTGACATAGTACTATGGGAATGCTGAGTGCTGGTAGAAGAACCAGTTGAGACAGATAGTCCAAAGTCATTAGAAGGTTATAAGGGAGGGAGAGCATCAAAAGCTTATTTTTAAAATATCACTAGTTGTGTACAGAACATAGAAACAAACAAGGTATGCGAGAAACAACTGGCTGTTGGAGTAGTCCAGGTGACAAACTGGCCTGTACTAGGTGTTGGCAGCGGATGAATAGGTTGGGCTGCTTGAGTTACTCATAATCTCTAAAACATAGTATCCTTGTATCTATGTGTAAAAGCCTAACTTAATAAATGAGATAACATTGGAAGATGAGACTATACAAGATACTGTAAAGGTTAGATTATAAGTTTAGAACAGTGATAATATGAAGGGTATGAAGGCTTGGAACTGGGTGAGTAACAGCAGTTAATGAGATGAGCTAGTAATTTGGGGTTTCAAATAGATACACAAGTGGAAAACTGGGTAGAAAAATCTGAAGTTTGGACCTCCCTGGTGGCGCAGCGGGTTGAGCGCAGCACTGTGAAGCTGTCTGCAGCCTCTGCCGCGCAAGTTCAATTCCCAGCTGACCAAGGAGATTCCCACATGGCAGCCAGGGAGCAACCTACATGGTGCAGCAGACCTCTCCTGTCTCACCTGCTGCTCCCCTCAGCAGTGTATTTCCGTCTTTCTGCCTGTTCTGCTCCCTGCTCTGTCTGTGATGAATTCTCTCACCCTCCCGTGCCTCTGGCCTGTGCCCCAGTGCTTGTATAAATAAATATATCTTGGGCCTCCCCTGGTGGCACAGCGGTTGAGCGCTGGGTTCGATCCCCGGCCGCCAGCGAGGGTCCCACACCCGCTGCTCCCCTCAGGAGTGTATTTCGTCACTCTGCCTGTTCTGTTCCCTGCTCTGGCTCTGGTGGATTCTCTCACCCTCCGGCGCTTCTGACTGCACCCAGTGCTTGTATAAATAAATAAACAAATCTTTAAAAATAAATCTTTTAAAAAATAAATAAAAATCTGACGTTTGGAAGTAATAATATTTAGTTATTAAAAGCTTGAGGATGGATGTTATCCAGAGTAGGGCAAGATGGGAAAGTTTGGACAGTGCCACAGAAAGCTGGGGCATTTAAGAATCAGCAGTGCTATTATTGTCTACTCTTTCAGAAGGAGAGACTAGAGTTGGGATGAATCCTATCCTCAATTTCCTCACCTATCCAAAAGTGATTGTACCTTCCCTCAATTACAGTCTACCTTTCCTCATTTTATTAATTACATTTTTTGTTTGTAAGAATTTATTCAAACCCAAGGATAAGAAATGTGGTTTCATCTGTCTCTTCAAAAGCTAAACAAGACAGAGCACAGAAAAATACTTAATGAACTCAGCATTTACTTGCATTTTGGTGTTAAAACTATTGGGTCATTAAGCTTAATGTGTAATTCTCAAAAATAAATTCCATTTCTCAAGGTACGCCCAAGGAGTCCTGAGTCTTGGATTCTAGTTCTTAAATACCTGCTTTTTCATCAAAAATTTTTCTACGCAGGTTGCTAGGCGCCCTGCGACCTTGGGTACCTGTCAGGGCTCAAGCAATGGGATGCCGCGTCCTGCGCGGGCTCTCAGGGGTTTCATAAGGATGCGGCTCAGCAGAAGGGGAGGACGCCAGCTGCCCGCCGCACTCACGCCCTCGCCTCGGGGCAGCGCCAGTTTAAGGTTCTCCGAGGAGACTGCAGCAAGGAAAACTACATGCAGGGCGGCGCCAGCAGCGCCTCCAGCCTCCCTCCAGCCTCGGGCACCATCTTCTCGGTAGTTCCCGAGGCCGGCGTGCGCAGCGCGCCTGCGCGGCCCGGACTAGTCAGCGCGCCTGCGCGGCCGCAGAGCCTCCCCCCCCCCCGCCCCTCTCGCCGCCGCCGCCGCTGCTGCCGCTGCCGCTGCCGCTGCCGCACTGACGGCGGATACCCGCGCCTCAGGTGAGCGAGCGCCTCAGCCCAGCCCGCGGGGGGCGCCTGGTGCTGCCTGCGGGGGCGTCACTCCCCTTGCCTGCTCCTTCCCCGCCGCGTCTGTGCTGCTCGGCGGCCGGGGGCCCGCGCTGCCTGCCTCCTTCGGGTCCCGGCCGCCCTCCTCCTCCGCCCTGGGCACCTGGGTCAACCCGGCCTCCCTCGGCGGCTCCCCGCGCCGGGGCTGTGGTGCCCCTCGGCGAGCCCGCCGGCTGCAGCTTGAGCACCGCGGGGGCCGAGCCTCCGGGCGACCCGCAGCCTCGGTTCCTGGGACCCTCCGCAGGCACCGACCCCCTTTCAGGCTCCTGCTCCGTAGGCGGCGGAGCTCTGTCGGCCTCGGGCGTTCGGAGACCCGACCCGACCCAGTGCCCGCGGGGCCTGGAGGATGGGCCTTGAGCTCACCTTGTTCTCGTTTGGCGCCGGCGCAGCAAAGAGCATCCTCTGGCGGGACCCCAAGACGACCCTGAGACAGAGGGTCTTCTTAGCCCCACTTTATAAATGAGGAAACTGAGGCACAGAGGTGAAGTGGCTGCCCAAGGTCAAGTAGCTGATGGGGGTGGTGGGGTAACTCTTGAACTCAGTGTCTGGCTTTCTGGCCAGCGCAGTTGGAATTAGATATTGACACCAAAATTGAAAAAATTTGAAATATACTTGTCACCTCTGGACAAGTTCTTTATAACGTCATAAAAGTAGGTTGCAAAAACTGTATTTTCTTGTTGTACTACAATTGAGATGTTACGGTGTTGATAATAATAGTGGTAGTGTTATTAATAACAGTTAACGTTTACCCAGTGCTGCTGTGTGACAGGGATCTTATTAAACATTTTATTAAGATTATCTCAATACCTCAGTGCTAACCAATCCAGTACGACCCCTCCCCCTCTTGCTTTTCATGCAGCTTTTTTTCTGCAGAGCTGGCCTCCCTGTCACAGGTAGACTAGGAACCTCATGGCTTAAAAGGCAGGGAAGCTCTCCCGTGGTGGTTTACTGGCAGAACAGGGGTAAGCCTTAGCTGCCTGCGTCCAGATTTGCAGCCTAGCCTGGCCTCCAGGAAGATATAATTAGTCTTCTTATCCTGACTGCCAGGAGAGCAGGACTAGGCTGGCTGGGCTGGTTGAATTTGGAGGTGACAGAGCAGATTTGGTCAACACTCACCTCATTTTGGTGCTTTCTGATTGTTTCAATGCTGGGCTTGATCATCTCAGTATTTAAACTAGAATAGAAAGAGAAAGAGTGCATTGTCAAAGTGGTGCTGAATATAATAAACTTCCATGATTTAAAGACCCAAAGGAACAGCTATAAAAATATGGGAATGTTTCTTCCCTAAAATAACTAGCTCAAACTGTCTTTTTTTCTCCCTTAGCAAATCCTCCTACACACTTCAAAGCTCCACTAACTCACCACCTTCTCTATGAAGTCTTCCTTGCTTGATTTTTCTAATTAGAATCACACATACACATTCTCTTTCTCTCTCTCCCTCTTTCCCCTACATATACACCATCTACATATACACCCACTCAGAATAGCATAGAGGCTTCACTCTTATCCTTGGGATTATTAGCCTTCTGAGGTCAGGGGTCATTTTTGCAGCCCCAGTGGTTGGTTGTAGCCCTTGGTAAAGATTCAGTGAATTTCCACTGTTCCTTTCCATTACTCAAGAAGTGATATCTTTTCTACTGTCCTCTGTCCCTTCTCCCCACCCTTCTTGCCCTTCAAGTTCTCTTTGCTGTTCCTCCATTTAAATTCAATTTCTGGATCACCTGCCACTCAGAGGGCTCCAGTCCACTCTGTTGTTTCTGAAAATTTGCAGATAAAGGTCCTGCATCAAGAAATCTGTTTATTTCCAACCATGGAGAGGGTATATGCCACCTAAGTGTACAGGGCAGTTTTTATTTGCTTTGTTGCAGTAAGATAGCCTGGGAGTTATGGTCTTTTAGATATCCTTAAATGCATGTGAGATTCATGTTTACATTCTTTTGCACTAATGTGGCTGACTCCCCCAATGCTGTCAGAATAATCACAGTTTTTACAAATCATTTACTATTATTTATAATAAATGTTTAAAAGGGTCCTTTGAGAGAGTAGGTCTTTACAGAGGTTCTCTACATATATAAAACTTTGAAGAGTTTTTCCAAATTATTTTCTGCAAATATATTGAGCTT